GGATAAATTATTAAATTCTTAAACTTGAGATCAAAGATTGAGGTTTTAGGATTAATTAAACCCAAATCTTAATTTTAATCCTTAAAGGTCTCTGAAGCTAAGAGCCCGCATGGCGGGCTTTGGAGACTAGTCCTTAAGATTTTATTAAGAAAGGGATGGTGTGCCACCAGTCTGTTGCAAGGGGTATAGTCTCTTATTCTGAAATGGAACGTTCAAAGTGGACGCGCCAAAAAGGGGGAAAATGTGACCCATATTTTTTTTATTGTAAATTTAACCCACAAGAAAAGCGATGGGAGCATTCATTTTAAATATTCCGTGTGTTAACCTGTGTTAACAGATAAGTTCAGATTTACAATTTTACTCGGATTGAGATATTTTGCTAAGCATTGATAAGCATAAAAATATGCTTTGATCAGCCAAGACACCGTTTTACGCCATTTCGCCATAAAATTCGCAATAAAAAAAATATGGGTCACATTTTCCCCCTTTTTGGAGCGTCCACTTTGAACGTTCCATTTCAGAATAAGAGACTATACCCCTTGCAACAGACTGTGTGCCACCCTTCGGTACAAGTCGGGTTTTGAGCTTACGTACGTGGCTACAGAGTTAAGTACAGATGTGCATACTTTGAATGCGTTCAGATATACATATTTATCGTTTTATATATTTCAGCAGCATGGATATATATGTACGTACAATGTAGATACAGTCTGTATCGTACAGACATAGATATAGTTATAAATATGCTGTAAAACTATACACACTAGGGAAGTAAAAATGAACCAAAATTTCATGTTCAATGACTTTTTGACTTAAGGGTAATGTTGCTCTTGACTTATTTCTAGAGTCCCCTTAAACCTTTTTTTTCTTAAGTCTTTGTAAGGACTGTGCAGAAAGCATATGATCGATTCGACACGAGGTAGGGGACAAGTACGTGTTCCTGTTTTTATCATGTTAATTGTTAACACGGGGCATAGTCACATAGTCACCCCTGTGGTAGTGGTTAACATTCAAGCTTCCTAGAAAATCGATCTCATATTTTATAAATGTACGGCCCCCTCCAACATTTCGTGTAATTTGTAGCGGATTATTTATACACTGTCCAAAAAGTCCTGACGCATAAAATACGAGTAATTTTTATTGGCTTGTAGAAAAGTGGGAAAGGAAATAATTAATTTGAAACATTTTTTTTCAAGTACCCTAGTAAGTTGTGTGTCCACCGTCGTTGGTCATCATTTGGTCCACACGTGTTTTAAAGCATTGGGCCAACTTTTGTAAGAGGTCAACCGGAAGCGAATTCCATGTGGTTTGGAATCGGGCCTGTAACTCTTGTCTTGTCGTGGGAAGAGGGTCGTGGTATGCTGAATCCTTTAATATGGACCATAAATTCTCGATGGGGTTCAAGTCAGGAGAATTTCCAGGCCACACCCCTTTTCCCCACACCGTTTCAAATTCGTCCTCTAAAATCTTCATCGTCGACTTTGCGGTATGTGCTGGAGCCGCATCTTGTTGGAAAACTATATTATTTCGACTGCTAAATATCCCACTGCTCATAGCCTGAGTATAGGTAGGCAAAATTTTGGTTTGATAATAGTTGGCGTTGATGGTTTGGCCCTGAGGAACAACGTGCAGTTGCGTGACGCCTCCGGCACAGAAGCCACCCGCCACCATGATCTTAAGGCTGTGTTTTGGCCTTAAAATCGGAGGAACGTCTATTCTTTCTTCTGTTCTGTATCTACGATTTTGAAAGTGACCTTGGCCGTGGAGCTCGATCCATGTCTCATCCGTAAATAGTATATTGGCCCTCAATTTTTGACCACGCGTCCCCGGCGTCAAAAATCCAGTTTCCTCCACCAACTGTCCAAATTTAAGTCTGTCTTGAACATTTTTTTTACTTAAAAGAGTCTTCTTTTGGCTCCAATATGCAGTTTTACCCCATTTTGTTGTCTTGAGGTAATTGTGCACGGTACTTTTTGAAATATTCTTATTTTTGTTCATATACCGGGGAGTGGAATTCAATATTCTTGCGGTTTTTCGTACAGATGCTCCACATTTTCTATACATTTTGGACTTTATTTGACGTTTTGTGGTAGGCGAGAGTACTCTTGGTCTTCCGGATCGTTTTCTATCTGTAAATTGTTTTTTGTTTCTCCACCGGCGAACTGTACTTGGAGACACTTGAACTTTTTGACAAATTTCTTTGGTGCCATATCCTTCGCTGAATAATGTTTGTATTCTAACTCTTTTATGTTCACAAGATACCTTGACCTTAGGACCCATTGTGGAAAAAATACAATTTGTCGGAACTTCCAAATATAAAAGTAATCAACAAAACAACGAGGCAAAACCGCGCGCGGGACGACAGCGTCAGGACTTTTTGGACACAGTGTAAATGGCAAACAGTTCAAGTCTTTTAACCCTTTCAGTCGCTGGCCTTCACGAATGGTTAAGGGACCAGTTGCTGTCTACTTTGGAAAAGCGGATTGAAGAACAACGCGCCTCGCATCTTAAAATCGATTCCGAAGTTTACATGAACCGAACTCTTTTTTGTGCTCATGTGAAACGTTAAGTTAGTCTGAAAAATTTTCCTTGAAAAGTCGATAAAGCATCATAAACGTGGAAATCATAAAATGGAAACCTCTACCCGAAAGCGCAGCATAATATCCGCCCTGCCTGAGCACAATGGGGCCGCCCAATGGTAGGAAATATCAGAAATTATTTTATGACTTTTTTTGAGCTATTTATGCATATGAGGTAGCTTGGGGACGGATGACACAAATTATTTGACTGTAGGTCGACCACACCCCCTGGGGGAGAAGTTATCTCCATTTGAAGGGGTGTGGTTGAAAACTTTTGCATTCGAGAGATCTATGAAAGCTAACCCAAATTCATATAAGTTACACCAACGTACGACGCTCCAGAGCAAAGTTATCGGCCTCCAAACATCGAAATTTTGCATTCTGCGCCAACTTTGCGACCTCGTGGCGCAGTGCGCGACCTGATTTATAGGTTCATAGTTATCTCAAACGACGCCACCCATATTAGGCTGTCATCCTAAACAAGAGAAAATATGGTGTCACGCCTCGTTTGGCCGCAGGAATTTTTTTGAAAATCGTCAAAAATACAGCCGAACTAGCCTAAATCTACGCACTAAAAAATATTTCGTTGCACTTATTGACACAAATTCGATACGACGGGACAGCCTGTCATGGTACAAAAACCGAACTTATAAAAATTTTCACCTCATGTACTTGGTTTTCGATATTTTGTAGCTCAGAGTAATTATGTGATCAACAATTACATCATTATTACATGTTACCCTTGGGTCTCCTCCATTACTGACAGGAAAAGATCCGGCCAATGTCGCACAGGGAGGACACCAACATGGTGACTGTACAGTAGGTTAGAATTTTGAAAAATCGTCGTCTTTTTCAAAAAAATTCAATACCTTAATTGACTGTGTCAAACAGGATTCTTCAAATGACACTTTTGGAAGACCTTAGGGTTCCCCCAATACGTCAATACTTATTACATATTTTGACAACCTACGTGGAAAGAAGCAAAGCAGTCGGATTCGGAGCTCTTTGTAAGAGGCGCGATAGGGAAAACTGCAAAAATATTATCCTTAGGGATGATACGATTTGAGGAGTCAAAAAAATATTCCATGGAGGAAATGAGCATACATTTACGCATATGGGCAACACGAATGACAAAAGACAACTTTAAAAATAGTATCTTCGGTCTCAGATGATGTGTATTGGAGCAAATAAGGTACTAAAAGCTGACTCGCACTTTTTTACTCAAAAAGTATGACCCAAGGAAGGAATACTTGTACCGAAGAGGTCATGGAGCTGGTTGGTAAACCTCAAGAGTACATTTTGTTCGAAACTGGACATTGGACCTACATCAGGTCTCTATTCTGGAGAAAAAGTTATCCAAATCGAGAATCGGGATAATTTTCGGGAGGTTTTTTCCTATCAACTATTGCTTTCCGTCTCAACCGACCCAATTTTTCTGGACTACGACATATGACTCAAGTTGGAGGTCAAGGCCTACTCTAAATCTCACAAAACTTTAGAGCCCCTAAACTATCGCTTCCAAAAGTTCTGATGTAATATATAACAAAAAGCGCCCGTGCCAAAAGGTGTAGTCATCTATAGTCTAGGCTCACAATTTTCTCTATGATATTTCTCGATGTAACTTCAGTGTCCTATTGCCATATAGTTCGGGTATTCTATAGATATGAAAGTTTGTAAATGTATCAATTCATCCCAGTGAAATTTAAAATAATGCAATTCTCGAAATTATTGAGCACACTGTGTATATGTACAGGGGCAAATTGAGAGAGCTAACAGCAAACGACGAACTAAAACTCAATAATATCTCCTGTCTCTAAATCATCAGTGGACCCGGGCCTCACAACGAACATAAATTCTGAATCCTCCCGCCATTCCAACGATACGCCATTTATGGGGCTATGTGAGACTTTAAATTGTCATCCAAAATTTTTGCAAGTTACTTTTTGAACTTTTTTTTCGAATTTCCAAAATCCCTCGGTTCGGGTTGTAGAGAAAAAAATTACGAATATTTTAATGAAAGCATCGTTTCGATATATTTTCCCATAATCGAGAAATCAGCATCCCCTTTTTGCAGTTTTATGCGACTTCCTCCCCCATGGGGAACGGAGTGAAACCGAAACAAATTAGTTGTACCGTTGCACTGACAAAAATCACCTACATATATGCAAATTGTGATAATCTCGTCAGAATCAATTTTTTTGTGGCCATTGAAATTCCGGTTTACATTATTACTACTCAATAATTGTATTCCAATTAATTTATTTCCCACTTTATTACTTACATGCGAGATGATGTCAATCTCGTAGGATATAATAGGGGCAGACCATCTCGGGTAGCATATAATGGGTAGCATTTCATGGGTAGGTTTCAATGGGTGGCAAAGATCCGCACACCCTACCCAATTCATGTATCTTGAAAAAATTTGAAATAACAACTATCACGGTCAAATTTATTCATAGAATATATCTGTACATGTTATTCCAGTTCAAAACATCCATACCTTATTAATCCATACTGAACTTAATTTAACTGCACCTTAATTTTAACTAATTCTAACTTATATACCCTGTCTTGGTCTGGATCTCGGATTGACAACATCCTAACTAATCTTATGTTAGCAAATTACTCATATTGCAGAAATTTACAATTTATAACCCGGAGGGCTTCTGGCAAGCATGTATGTATAACCTTATCACAAATATTTCTGGCCAGCTGGGGCCATAAGCTTACTAATTAAGTCATTCCTTCTCGCATAAAGTGATTCAATTTCCAATATGTTACCTTTGTTTATTAGGATGTGAAGCAAAAAAAATATGCGTTACCAAATTAATGAGAGCGTATATTCCGCCTACGGACTTTGATTTATATTCGACAATACATACATAATGTAACTTTGCTTCATGGTATGTACGTATATATTTCTTATAAATAATAGGTTCTAATTATAACATATAAACTCTAACACACCCCTGTATTTATAACTTCAATTTTACATACTTAATTATTTAGTGTTGGTACAAATGTTTAAAGATCCATCGTATCCTCCTCATAATCCATAATCTCTTCCAAATCGGTATTGGGATCTGGAGGAGGGAGGCCAATTGAACCTTCTAATTTTGATATTGCATCTTTTGCAAGAATCCTTTTTTCCGGGTTATTTGCCAACATTTCTTTCACAATGCTACGCTCACTTTCCGGGATAATAAGATCAAGCTCTTGGCGCCTCGCTAGGTTTATCATATTTATAATCTCCTGATAATTATTCCACTCCGTAAGTAGGACAACATAAATTAACCCCAGCGAATATATATCCACTGCAGGCTTTGGATCGCCTTCGCTTTCATGTAACATTTCAGGAGCCCGATAGTTTTGTAACATCTCCCTTTTTCTCGAGTCCTCTCGGTACTCCTCTTCTGAAATTTCTCTATAAATTGAAAAGTCCCCTATCTTGACGCTAACTTTATTGTCAACATTCTTCAAGAAAATATTTGATGGTTTCAAGTTACGATGAACAATTTTTTGGTCATGCAAGAACTCGAGTCCCTTAAGAACCTGTAAAATTATGGTCCCCTTAAAAAATTGAATATCTCTGTCCGGATTCTGGTTCATCCAGGTATCAAGGTCAACCTCATAATATTCTAACAGCAAAAATTCGAACTTGGGGCTCGTAGCAGGCTGCTCGCTATCGGCTGGCGTTATCGGGTCAACCTTACCCTCCACTTCAATTGTATGAACCCATTTTTTAATGAGTCTAATAATATGTGGGGAACTATCAATTTTTGCTGGGTCCCTATAGATATTGTATTCCGCATCGGTATGATTTGCATCCTTCCACTTTTCCTTCCACCTTTTTACGTTGAAAGATCTTACTACATACGTCGCCAGCGTAGTCTTGTCCAAAACTTTGTAAATTGATGCAAATTCACCATTGTCCAGGCGATCAATAATTTCCAGTTTCATTGTAGTGAGTGATTTTTGGATATGAGTATACTCAGGACTTTGTGAATATGCGGGCTCCAGGATGTGAGTAATTTGTCCTATAATTAATTACACAGATTAAATAAATAATACCAGACATATCCGTACTATGTCAACCTACCAATCAATGAGGCATATTCATTTGTTTCATTTGTCAATAATTCAATCAGCTTGTTACACACATCTAATGGTTCCTTTAGGTTCAGTTTGGCGGTCAACTCATCGAGTGCCACCTCAAAGAATTCTCTACGAAAAATGTCTCCTTGACTGAAACGGTCTGTTAATTCCGTTTCAAACGGTACATCCAGCCGCAGGCGTTCTAAAACTTTAGGAAGATCGTCGTCAACTTTCTTATCTCGTAGGAATACGTGGATCAATTTTTTAAAAAATTCGTTCATAATTATGTTTATGTCAAATTTAAATAATGAAAAATTAGACTACTCTTCCCGCAAAGTTACTGTTAATTAAAAACTAATGGTGTTTCTTGTAGTAGAAAATATGTGTTTTTGTATGAAGCTCAGAGTTGTCTGAAGTTTTGATAAGTTAGGCAGATTACATCAGCTCTCAACAAAGCAGGTAGGAATTTATGGACATCATCCGTTGTAAAATGATAAGCTGTGAGTCGAATGCAGGGTTTCAATCGGTAAAAAAATAAATTGACGGGAAAGTGGGAGATTATTTTTCATGCATTGGTGAGGGAGTGAGGGATAAAACTCTCAGACCGCACTCATACATGTTGCAAATTATTCATGGGCTGAAGTGCACTACCCCAAAGCCATTTTTCGTGATTTAAATTTTTGGCGAAGTTATGGCGGATTTCGATTTTGTTTTTATTTATTTTTCTTTCTAGTAACGAATTAACCAGTCGTCAAACAAAAACATACACTTTCTGATATCACATTATTAGTATTTTCATTCAGGCTTTACCGTTTTTCGGTTTTTTAAGTATGAAACTGCTCAATGGTCAATTTGAGCAAATCGTATTCATTTCACAAGGTAAAATTTCTGAAAATACGAGGGGTCATTTTTATTTAGGTGGCCTCGCATTGACGTAGGGTCATTTTGCCCCACTTTTTTAGTTTGTGTGTAAGATAAACTCATTAAATATGTACCTCAGATTCTATAGCTCAAAAAATCACGATCACGGCCGAGTTGAGGAGGTCGTCAGATGAGATCCAAAAACAGCAAAACAAACAAAATCAACTAAACTGAGCAGCATTCTGCGATAAAGTTTTAAGCATTAGAAGGGATCCCCACTACGGAAATTCATAAATGACCGCTCCAATTAATCCTTGACTCTTTTCCTTCATTATCCACAGTTATAGATTGGGCCAATCAATTTCGTCTTGATAGAAATAAATTGAATCCGGAGGGGGGCGAAAATGACCAATTTCCATGATTTTCTAAATATATCCCCCAAACATGAATGACCTGATCATGGCTGAATTTCGAAACAAAAATTGGAAGATAACTTGGGACTTGTGCTTTCCTAAAACAAGTGTCCTTACAATCCCACATGAACATCTTCCCCTCAAACAGGTCAGTATAATATAGAGGCAAATGAATTTGAGCATTGAGGAAAAAATAACTTAAGCCCAGGCTCCCCAATTAAATTTAGACCTTCAACACCTATACAGATACTTCTTTTTGCACTTATCAACAGGGATGACATCTGGGTTCATTGTTCTGACCTTGAAGGTAAGCAGTAGAACATGCAATGAAAGAATACTGACTCTCTACCTACAAAGGACGTTACAATGCAAAAATCAGTCGGCAAGGTGAAGGCAGGCATTTCTTTGGACTCAGAAGGAATTCTGGCCCCGGACTTTTCGGCTATTAGAACACCGACAACAGGGTCTTACTATGCCGAAATTGTGAAATTTTACGTGAAGCCGCTACACAGAAAAGTCAAATAAGAAAATCACATGGCTTGCTTAATTTCCACTTGAAAACCTCCAATGCAGCCTTCCTATAGCCCGAGCCTCATTTTTTGCGCTTGTTGTTAAGACCATTTCAGTGAGTGAAATTAAATTATTAAAGCATCCAAAAATTTCACATGGAAACTTCATTTAGGTGTCAATAATACAGTTTTGAGCATGCCTGCTTTATTCTGCACCAAAATTATTCGGCGTGACCACCACTACAACTTCTTTATTTTTCAGAATTTTTTTTTCAATATTTGCTAATAATCATTTTTTCCACCAAATCTAACTTTGTGGAAAATTTGAAGTCATTCGGAAGACTTTGATAAAGGCCACCTAAATAAAAATGACCCCTCGTACGTATATGCCTTTAACTTTGTGAAGAAGGATGTAAAAAACCTACTCCAAGCAACTTTGCGGGGCCTTTTAAGATGGCAATTGGTAGTTAATGGTAACATATTTGGGTGGAAAAGACCCCAACCGGCCAACCATTTGGCCGATCATGCCCATCTCCGAACTCATCCTTACTTTTGACACGAGGATAAAGCATGCAAAATTTCAACTCGATAGCTTTGGTTTAAAGAGAGTTATCGTGCGTACAGACAGACAGACAGACGGACGGAAGACATCCTGACAACTCTATAAGGCCATCTTAAAAGGCCTAAAAATTGATACCGGGAAATGAAAACCTTTTTCGCAATTAGCACTATCTTTATCAAAAAATTGAAAAATCTTGAGTTAGGCCATCATGAAGATAAATACGAATAAAGTGATATCAGAAAGTAAATGATTTTAATGAATGGTTTGCCTCTTACATGGTCATAATTTCGCCAAATCTTGAATTCTCAAAAAATGGCTTTGGGATAGTGTACTTCACCCAACCTAAAAATTTTGCATAGTATTGACATATTTCACATAGTATTGACATATTTCACAATTTAGGTTAGTATAAACCATCTTTTTCATTTTCCCAAGTCGCATGGTAAAAATAGTTTTTGATTGGAGAATAGAAACCCTGTTAATTTATCATGTCCGACTTGAACATGATGAATTGTGTCTGCTACTGACACGTAGATTTCTGCGCATCGGACAACTCATTGCGTAAGTGTAAAGGGTGTTGATTTAATTTCTCCCCACCTTATCCTGAAAAAAACGAAAGCTCATTTCTCAAAACTGTGAGACGCAACGGACTCAATTGATTTTTCAAACACACGTTAGTATTTGGGCTTTCCACCGTCCACCTTAACCATGTCCTCAGGTCTTTGTTGGGAACTCTGTGCTAATTTTTTCAAACTGATTTTTGTTATGAAATTGCACTTTGCTTGAACTTTCAATGCTAGCTTCTCTGTTGTTTGCGGTTTTGGATCTTTATGCATATTTTCCTTAAGTATGGGCTATTAGTTCTCCAAAAGATTCACATCCAGGTTTTTATCGGACCACACCCCTTTCCTCCAAACCGTTTTACACTGCCCTTCACATAGCGGCATGATCGTTTTTGCAGTGTGAGTTGCACCACCATCCTGCACGAAAATTATTGACTAACATTTGCAACAAAATTCCTTGTTTCAAATGCTATCAAAGCATTTAGGTTCAATTTTCGCTATAAAATTATTTGCATTGATACGTGCTATACTTGTGTAATATGGAGGGTTTTCATGCCACGCGCAAAAAACTACCCGCTACCATAACTTCCGATCCACATTTCGAAGCACGCACGGGTGGTACATGTGACTTTTTTCCAGTTTTGTATATCATATCTTGTAGGCTCAATTCTGGATGTGGCTCATTTGATGATTCATTTGTCCCGAGGATATAACGCCCTGATTCGAGACCTTGCTTTTTTCACGAAAATCGCCACTTTTTTAAATATTTTTCAAAATTTTAGGCCAGTATTAACGTTCTTTTGAGATATTAAGCTTTCCTGACTTAGTTTATGAGTCGTGTGACTCCAAGTCTTCAATTTTTCAAACTTCGGTATTGCAGGATGGTAAATTTACGTGTAAATAAGTTTGATGCGTTTTAGCCCATTTCACTTTTTTTGCCGAAATTAGTACCGAACTTCCTGTTATTGATGAATCTTGGGCAGATTTTTTGTGGCTGTAGTAGGTGACATCCCCTAGGTCGTGCAGACCACTTTTTGTATTTGAAAAAAATTCGGCTGGTCCGTAGCCTTAACGTTTTCCCGCCGTATCATAATTTCTTCGATTTTTCTTATATTTTTAATTGCTGCAGAACTGAAGTTTTTTTCGAATCTCTACGACCGTCGCGATTGACCTTTAGTAGTGGACTACTCATGGTAAAATCTTCAAAAATAAACATTAACAATTGCAGAAATTATAGCTGAATTTGTCGCCGTCCGTGTAGTAAAAATTGACTGGGGAGAAATTAAATCAACACCCTTTATGTTTCATCCATATCACTCATCAAACAATGACCACCCTGAACGTTTTTATAATAAACAATTTAAGACACACATCTGCGTCAGACTATTGATGTCAGCTTGTTTATTGCTCGACTACGTCGCATTTTTATGTATACGTACAAAGCAAATAAGTGGTGGAAAATGAGCGTTAAACTAAATATTGCACAACGGACAAATTGAGGTGACGATAAGGATATCTCCGTTTAATGTTGAATTGAACATTGATAAGGAACATTGATATGGTGACCAATACGTTGCACTCCTGAGTTTGTGTCATTCAAGCTCAAATTACTGGCATCGCCACGTCGCCAAAATTGACGCAGCAAGGTGCTGCCGTGTCCATCCAACGTACAACCTATTCTGCAGCAGGTAACAGCAATTATCGTGTAGAGAAAGAATAACAAAAGTTGGATTCTTGACACCCAAAAAATGATTTCGATAAAATGCTATTAATTAGGATTTATACTTCTATTAATTTGTAATATTAATCTCTAAATTTTTTGTCAGCCATGACGTCTCCAAATTTGACAGAAGAAGAAACTAAACCAGATCGGCAGAAGATTTTAAGCTACGAATCATTCCTCGGATATGGGAGTTTTGGGATCATTTTAAGAGCTCTCCAGCCATTCGGCCCCCCCATTGCTGTAAAGTTTATCTTTCCGTCGGGCACACGAAGGAGTTCACCTCCCCGTGTTACCGGATATGAAGTGGTGTTGAGCCTTAGGCATGCAAATCTTATGCAAATGTACCGGATAGATCGACAAAATTTGACAAAAAAAGATTTGGAGAAAATTTTTAGTCACTTTAAAGAATCTGAGGACTTATTATTGCTCAAAGATAGAGTTATTGGCACAGCAATTAGATGCGAAGAAGTGCCTACCATTCAAATTCAGATGGAACTCTGCGGTAAGACTCTACGCCATTGGTTGGACGATGACCGTAAAAAGGACGGACAACTTTCTCCTATCCATTTTGATATAATACGAGGTCTCATCGAGGGATTAAGCTACTTGCATGACAGGGACATTATCCACAGGGGTCTGGAACCAGCAAGTATTATGTTTTCAAATCCTGAGTCATCGCTACCAATAAAAATAGGAGGTTTTGCACAATCTACGTTTATTTACGCTGCGAATGAGTTTTCACTTGATATGTTATCCAGCCACGTTGGCACAGTACACTACATGGCTCCGGAATTACGCTTTGGGGTGTATACCAAGCAATCAGATTTTTTCGCGCTTGGATTAATAATCTGGGAAGTAGTACAGTTTGTAGGACCGATGGATTTTGATAAATTAGTTTACGACGAAGAGACAAACTTAATTAAATTCCATGGCTCATTTAGGAAAATGATTATAGGCCTGACGAAGAGGAGGGTTACAGATAGATTTAAAGATTTGACCAGCGTAAGAAATCTTTATGCTATGGGTTCACGTAATCAATGCGGTTTGCAATTAAATATTGACTTTGCATTACCCAAATTCTGTGATAGCCAGGAATCCTTGATGTGCTTGGACGATATGGAAGTAGATTCGATTATTGCAAGCCATCCATCCCATTTCTTTGAGGGGATTACAAATAATAGCAAATTCGACATTATCCTTGGGAGAGGAGCATTTGGATTTGTTCTACGGGATGTTACAAATGAAGGAGACAAAACCGCTGTGAAATTTGTATTCCCTTCTGAAATTGATGAGAAACAGCAAGAACAGGTAGCTAGAGAATTTGATATTGCCAGAATCCTCCCACAACACCCCAATATAGTCCGTACAAGGGGCGTTGAAGAACGGTACTTGACCTCGGAAGAACTACAGAAAATGTTCACCAACATTCTCAACGATTCCATGGAAACACTACTTGTGGAAAACTATATTCGAAGGGCGAAGCGATATGAAACTATCAAAGTCGTATGCATTCGAATGGATCTTTGTGGGGAAAGTTTACGCTCGTGGCTCAGAGTGCGGCACAATTTGGATGACCTAAATATTCAACAAATTCAGCAATTTGAAATAATAACTGGAATCATCAGAGGGCTAAAGCATCTCCATGAGAATAAAATCATGCACCGTGATATTAAGCCAGAGAACATAATGTTTTCAAAAGTTGGTTTTGTTGTCCCGGTAAAACTTGGGGATTTCGGATTATCTCGCAAGATATATGATGACGGGACGGAATCTAATTCTCTTACGTGCAACGTGGGAGCGAGAAGCTACATGGCATCTGAAGTTCGCTCTGGTATATATGATAAACAGGCAGATATCTTTTCTCTGGGGTTGGTTATGTGGGAAGTTTTGCAGGGGATTAGTAGGCATGATTTTAACAGATTAGTATTGGACGGTGAAGAAGAGCTAGTTGAGGACCACCCAATTATGGTGGGGATCAAGCAAATTATAATTTCCTTGACTAAAAGAAAACCTAAAGATAGAACTAAAACGTTGGATGAGCTTGACCCTGCTGTCAAATTTTGGAAGGAAAACATTAAAAGAACTACCTATCATAACAAGTAGGCGAATGAATTTTGATTTTTGCGTTATTAACTATAGTTTATTGTTACTTAATTTATATTAAAAACTTACCGCACAGAGATGTTTAGATTCGGTTTAGCAGTATTTGTTAGAAAACTATCAAGTTTATGCAATTTTGAGCTTATATATAAAAATGTACGAAAAATATTATGAGTATTAGTATTATATACGTCATAGTGTAGTTTGTCTAAAATTATGAGATTATTTTGTATCCCTTTAACCATGCTGACACATTGTATTAAAACCTACAGTGCAGACTCCAGCCCGAGTCAGGGACTCTGTCCCTGACTCCCTGAGTCCTAGCTGTTTCTAAATTTTTCTCCGAATTGACCGACATAATATTACCATTTTGAACTTCCAAAGCTATATTTGCTATCAAGAAGTGGTTTTTAGTCTTCGTACCAATTTCAGATGGAAAAAATTAAAATTAAAAAATGCTATGGGTCACCGTCCAGGGTCACTCTGGTTGCTCACTTTTAGCTTCACTTTTAGCTGAGAAGCCATTAGGTATGACCATGCTGGATTTAATGTTTTTAAAGTAATTTCTAAAAATCGGTATGGGTCACCCCATAGGGTCGCTCCAGATAAGAATTTTACAAATTTCATGGCATATTCTTCTATTAAGACCCATTAGCAAACTCTCTACCTAATTTCAGCTTGTTATGGCGATTTTGAAAAATCAGTGCGGGTCACCCCATAGAGTCCCTCAAAATGAAAAAATTTTCCAACTTGAAGTCATTTTTATTTCTTAGTAGCCATTAGCAACCTCTGTACCCAATTTCAGCCTTCTACGTCAATTTTGAAACTTTGGTGCATAATACCCCAACCACTCCGATGACCCCCACCGGTCAACCACTTGACTGATTTCGCCCATCTTCGAACTCGTTTCCTAACTTCGTCCAATATGCATATGGTAAAAATTTCAAGTCGATCGGTTCAGCCGTTTTGGCTCTATCGTGCCGGACAGACGGACGGACATGACGGTTACATAAGCCCTGACTCGGGCTAACAAATTTATATTATTACACAATTTTCGTAAATTATTTCTCGCGAATGCTTACGAAGTAATACAACTGTTTTCAAACGTCTAAATATGTGAATAAAATTCTTTATGTATATATTGAAATGAAATTATATAAAAATAGCGGTTGATATTACCTTTTTTAACCTTAAATGGTTAATGCTGGGCTTCCTAAAGGAGAATTATGCAATCCTTAAGGAGGACGATTCCCGTTTTCCTGAATAAATATCCTTAAAGATTTTGTTAAGGACAGCGAAATTATTCTAACATGAACAATGTCAATTTTGCCTCATTGTGGGAGGAGGGCAAAACTCACTCATATAAGTATTTGTCATAGTGACGTAGCAAAAGGGTTTTTACTCCTTCGTAAATCGTGTGTCGCAGTCAAGGAAGGAGAGTGAGACTGAGTAGTAGAAGGTCGAAACTTGTCGGCGCCCGATTTCGATCTCCTTTGGATATGTTGTAGTACTATATGAGTGTAGAAAAAGTGAAGGAGGGTTAGACTCCATGAGCCCATTTACGCCCGCCACACCCCCTCAAAGGCGCCCAAACCCCCAGAGTTGCCGCACTAAATTTATCGCCAAAAATCGAGTTTTGGTTAAATTTTCAAGAAATTCACATTTTTGTGATTTTGAGCGGGGAGCTAAAATTTAAGTTGACATTGGGATGAGCATAAGTTCCACCGTTAGATATGGCAATAGCCACTCCAAAGAAGGCGAGAAGCAGGCACAAGCACGTGGACGATGCCATCAGACCGATCGGGAGGGCAGAGTGGAGCACGTGGTCGAACTGTTTCGAAATCCAGGCGAGTCGGAGAAGTCGGTCATCCAGATTGATCGGGGACTGAAGCGGGCAGCAAAATTTACAAGCAGAGTTTTTGGGAAAGATATACATAATGTTCTTGCACGTACGAATATAAATATGGTCTTAAAAATAATAAAATCCCTGGAAACTGCTTCTTCCAACAATGGAACGGTTTTTCACGATACACTCGGATTGTGTAGTGAGTTAAATCCATCTTAAAATCAAGTCAAAAGCTAGGCTCACGTGACACTTATCTTTACGTTGAACGACCCTTTTAAATATTGGCGGCAAAGTTCGATTTTCGAACTTTATTTTTGACCATGTTAGTTTGAACGAACAACTGTTTAGAAACAACATTTACTGTGCACTTGCGAAGATGCGCAACATTCAGCAAGTTTTGGGTGCCACAAGTTTGCAAAAAAGCTCACCTGCTCTCGCATGGCACATCGTCTGCTGGAAAACGGATCGTTTCGCGAAAGTGTGGCATTCGAAAACTTTCTGAAATTGTCAACGTCTGCGCAATCGCTGTACGAAATATTGATTCTGAAGAGATGTTCTTTCAAACTAGCATGGTAAACAAATAATCTAGGCTGAACATGGTTTGCCGCCCCATTGCCTCCATGATTTGTTCCGTACATAAAATTCCAAAAATTTAAAAACACTCAAAATAAGTATACACTTTACTAAACCTCATTTTGAAAATTAGATGCACTCCGAAATTTATGTTAAGCAAGTTACCCTGGATTTAGGTGAGTTTGTGTACTATAAGATTTAGAGTGTTTTTACTTTTCAAAAGGGTAACACTATTTTTAAAGAGTGCGCAAAGAAATTAATTCATTTTAAATTTAGCACATTCCTTCATCTTGTTCAATTTTTCAAGAAAATTGTGTACAAATCGTTTCAAATCAGTGCCACCAGGGAACAACAATTTATCCGCGGTTAATTGGTCAATCAGCTTCCCATTGTAGGACGACGTGATGATGAGCAATGCATTTCCCGCGGCCTGAATTCCCGGGAGAAGGTCAAATGTCTCCACCACGTGGCCAAACATTTTGAGCGGATTGTTTAAATTACAATTAAAATTGGAATGCGTGTAAGTTCCACTGTTCGCGAGACCAATTTCCAGAGGAGAAAGTAGGCAGACGCAAGTTGCCGTAGTCATCAGGCCGATCGGGAGAGCGGAGTGGAGCACGTGGTCAAACTCTTTAGAAATCCAGGCTAGTCGATCAAGTCTATCATCCAAATATGTCGGGGATTGGAGCGGGAAGCAGAACCTAGGAAATTTGGAGGAAATGAAATGTTAACAAATTATTTTTACTAAATTAATTCAACTCGTTTAGGTAAAACTTTGTAAGGAAAATTTATTTTAATTTTTGACTCTAAAATTTGAGTAGGTAATCTAAAATCTGGCTTCAATTATTAGCGTACTTTTTCAATAGTACTTTTGTCCTGGCAAATCCGTTATATTTTTCCAAAATGTTCAGGTTTCCTATTGTTAATTGAATATATAAACATGCAAGGATTTTTGAAAAATATCGACTGTAAACGTATGTATGTGTTTCTACAGTTCGGAGCAAGAATGAGACCGAATTGAAGACAAAAATGTAGTAAAATCAAGAAATTTGAAAGTATGTAGATCGCGTTCCCGAAAAGTTCATTGGTCTTTAATCAGAATCGAAGTAAATTTGTGATTTGACTCACAAAATTTTCATAAACAACAAAGAAGCATATCGAGTAAAGGTACGGTAAAAGTATTCATAATTTTGATTATAGAAAAAAATACAAAATTGAACGAATAAGTCGTGACTAAAGAATTCAACAAGATTAATGAAATCAATCAAATACTTGATTGCATTTTTTTAACATACACGTACTCGCCAAGGTCCCGGGATGGTTAAGTCGTGGTAGGATGTACATCGAGACCACATCCCGCCTTGGATCTCCACCTCTCGACACGATTAGTTCTCTCAATGCCCCCGTCAGTCCCGCTTGAATCACCGCTGTTACACTGAATCCGGTCTTTTTTGAAATAGTTTTCAGCAGATTTAAGTCAATGTGCGTACTCGCTCTTGTTATTTGGACACCAAGCTCACGCTTGCGACAAATTGGCGAATCTGGCGGCGAAATTCTTTGCGAGTTTATTCCCCTCAAAAAGTAGTATACGGGTTGCCTCGGAGTAATAAAAATGAGCTGAAAGAAGTAGCAAATTTTTTGCCACGTGGTTAACTCGAACTTTTTCCTGATACTTTTTAAGAGTTGGGCAATATTTTCGTCCATGGCGGGATCCGGGTCGCATAATTCCCGCATTGTGGAGATAAAGGAGAGACCGGCACTCGATCGTGTGATGGACGCGGATCACGATGGCGGAACTCGTGCTGTACTTGGCGTGGGTGTAGTTCGGCAGTGAAATAATTTCCCATAGGGGTTGACCCACCAGAAATCTTTTGGAGATTTGGGAATTCAAAAATTCTGCTAGTTTGGCGGGATCTGATTCTTTATTTAGTTTGATGTGATTGTGAAGGTTGAAATTGTCACATTTCTTACAAAAATACACGTTCGTCCAGCGTGTGATGGTGCAGGTCGACTTGAAATGCTGTATGAAGAAATAAATCAGGTTAACAAATCCAGCTTTACAAACAGATTTAAATATGTAAGTAGATTTTTAACATCCAATCGACACAATAATTTAAACAACGCTTGCCAAAATTGTTTGCATCCCATGAATTTTAAAATCGGAAAGTTAATAATTGACAGATTTTTAAGAACCTTACGCTATTGGTCAAAGCCTTAGATGACTTGTTAAATAAAAAAATAAATACAATGAATATTTAAAAAAATTTACAGTATTTTTCGAAAAATAAATAAATTTATAAAATAATATGTTGACTTGAGTCCGCCAAATTTTGGGATTCACACAGGCCAAAATGCAAAGTATGTTTTTATGCAGAAACCCAAAATCTGTCATTTTACTGCAAAATTTGTCATTTAAAAAAAAATTTTTTAGTGGAAGTATAGTTTTAACTAAAACTTAAAGCAGTTACATAAGTAAACAAAATTGTAATTAATTCCTGTGACAAACTACTCACGTTTCCAAACGCTTTCTCCACTCTAGCCACGAGGTGGTCAAAGTACACCAGTAATTGCAGCAAGTGGCCGATTGTATACATCGTCCCAGGCCCACGAACAATCGTTCAGACTTAAGGGGCCGGATAATTCTTTTTTCCAGGTCGACAACCAGACCACAATATTTCTGTAGATCGCGAGTGGAAAAAGTACACAAATCAGGAAGAGTGGGAGGATAAAGTACGTTACAAAAACGATGGAAACCATCAGTAAAATTTTCCTAAAATTTAAAGTCATTTTAAGAAAACTTAAGAGATGTGCATTCAACGCGAATCGGATAAGAACTGGGGAAAATTTAAGTGCATTGATAAATAGAGTAGATCGATCTTCAACACGTAGTCAAAGATTAACCTTAAACTGACCCAGGCTAAGTGCATTGATTACCGAAAAGAATGGAAATTGGGTCGAATTACGCAACTTACTTAAAGCGATTGACACATTGTGATACATAAGTGCAATTATTTGCGACAAAGAGCACGACGGAGATGGGTACATAAAATTGAGGGCAGCAGTTTGTCTTAATTTTCGTCCAAAACTTGCTTTAGTGGATTTCCTGAAGAATTTGAGTGAATTTTCATACATTTTGATACATAATATGTAAAAATATAAAAATGCATACATAATATGCGTTTGCATATTTTTGCAAATCCTGAGTACAACTCAAGATTTGTAATGTTAAGCGTACATGTAAGTATGCCTTTTTTGAAAATCCATACAAATGCACATATATGCGGAAGTATTCGCAGTTACAATAAATACGTGTTTCAAATGATTTATTCTTCCAAGCCACGTAAATATGTATTTAATTTATTATCAATAAACAAATATTTGCATTTACTGCAGAAATTTTGAACTACTTAAATTTCAACATTAGTTTTGATTTTGCTTAATGATTAGTTGATCAGTTTAATTAAGTAGCGCAAGCTACTTTATGCGATGACTTAGTTAGTCTGTCTGTCTGTCCGTCTGTAGGCCTGTCAACACGATAACAGGAGAACGGATCGAGATAATCGAAATCGGTTTTCGCCATCGTACGTATGACCCTAGGGGGAGGATCTCTTAAGCTTTTGGGGCCCGCCGGACCACACCCCCTTTGCGCCAGTGGGTGTGGTTGGGGCAAAATGAGATTTTAAGAAAAATTGAATCCATGAATGAAGGGCAGCTAAATTAAGTGTTCCCCAGTTGTGTCACACCCCCTCGCGCCCAGTGGGTATGGTTTGGGAGCAGTGGGTGTGTTTGGGGCAAAATGAGATTTTTACAAAAATTAAATCTATGAATGAAGGGCAGTTAAATTAAGTGTTCCCCAGTTGTGTCACACCCCCTCGCGCCCAGTGGGTATGGTTGGGGAGCAGTGGGTGTGGTTGGGGAGCAGTGGGTGTGGTTGGGACAAAATGAGATTTTTACAAAAATTGATTCTATGGATGAAGGGCAGTTAAACTTAGTGTTCCCAAGTTGTGCCACACGCTCGCGAGCAGGGAGTGTGGGTGGGGCAAAATGAGATTTTTTCAAAAATTAAATACACGTGTTATACAGTTAGTTATCCTAGTTATACACGTGTCCCATGTTAATGACAACAAAATTTCACTTGTATTACACGGGTTTGTGCTGCTAGGGTGTAGATGAAATAGAGTTGAGTTAAATATTACCGAATTGTGCCACATCATCTGGCACTCGGGGGGTGTGGTTGGGGCAAAATAAGATTAATACGAATATTTAGTCTAGCACGTATCACATATCAAACAGTAAGATTGATTATTTAATTAGAATTAATTAGGAAACTGTAAAATGCATGGTTTTTCAGAGTGGCAAGATAGAATGAGGAAATCGCAATTATTTCGTTATTTTTAAACAATTCAGATTGTGCAATCTTCGTTTGAGTTATTTTGTGTCGCATTTTCAGCATTCTTTCGCTACTTGGGTACAATGCGTTGCCGCAGTTTATTGACTGTAAATATGCCTTCATGACCTTGCGGTGACATTAGATGCAGAATTTTGTGCATCTGTGAAAGTGCTAAAGAATATACACACTCTTAAACAAATCGTTACCAGAATGAATACCACGCGGAGTACATATATCACTCTACCGCTCTGGTATTCTTTTGGGTACTGGGCGGGATTGATTTGGGTTAATACCAAGCGAGTATTCATTTACAACAATAGCGTAATATTATTATTACTCCGTCTCGAATGTACTCGTTACTGCTCGGTATTCTTTGAATACAACGTTGTAATAATGTTATTACTGCATGGATTCAATGTAGTATGCTTTATGGTAATGATTTTCAAGTATTCGTTACTCACTGGTAATAAGGTTTTGCTACAACTGGTAATATAATTTATATATTTTTATTGAATATATTCTAACAATTAATCGACAATGGATCATTAATGGCATACATTCTGACAAAAAAATAATGAAAACGATTTAAAATATTAATATTCATAAATAATGCTTAAGTACTGAATGAAGTGTGTCGCTTTTACAATTTTTTTGCAAATTCCATTCAGTCATAAATTATTAGTTGAGTATTTTATGATACAAAATGATTCACCCCTTGAGCTCAACCAATTTTGCGACGAATTCGTTGATAAGTGTTGTCGCGGCTGCATTATCTACCAATGATTTTGTGTTGCAATTGGCGACAAGCTTACACAATTCAACATTTCGGCTAATATGCATCTCTAAGATCTATTAAGCGCAAATGAGTTCTATATTGTAAATATGTATCAATATACATATCTAACACATCTTCATATGTATATTTGCAAAATTAAATTGTTATTTCTACCTGTTTGAAAAAAAAATCTACCTCACCAGCTGAATCCGATAATAGAGATGCAGGTGAAAGTCTGGACAAACGAGTTTTTCACTGCCACAAAAATGAGGCTGACAGAAATAAGAAAAAATTGCAGGACAATTTTACTGCTAGAAGGACCTCTAAATTCACAATCTACCGCAGTATTGGAAGGTATGAGGAGGAAACTGAAGCAAGATTGAAACACATTAAAGGCCACACCCCCATGAAATCTTCCCCCAAACAGGTATGCTGCCTTTTCATTGCTTTTAACATGCATTTTGCCATATCCGTATGAAATTCTGGCCGATAGTTGGAAGTAGATCCTTCTACTGTTTTCCGTGTTGAAGCCCATGAACTAGGCTTCACTGCTCACACAAAGAAGAAATTTCCTAAATATTCTAAAGATAATGGAAAATGAACAAAAACTGTTTTCCGGGAGACAATTTTTTCAAGCAATAGATCATAATGAAGTGGATCGTGGACATAAATTAAATAAAATAACAAAATCTCCCAAAAATGCTTCATTTTTCTAGCCAAGAATGAGTTTGGGAATATTTTGGAACCCCACAAATCAGGGGGGTCTCTGACCACAACGTGTGCTTACAGGAGTTTCTAAAAAATACTGTATTACACTTAACCAATAAGCATCCAAAAACATGAGGGGCCTAATTCTTGCCGGACTTATCAACGCGGCATTAAACCAAAATTGTGACCATGTACTTGGAAGAGAAAAACGATAAATATGCTCTCAAAATAAAAAGCCACCAAATTTCTCCCAACCTCGTGGGATTGGAAAGTTTCGGTCTGCCCGCAAACAATCATACTCCATCCGAGGTCAGGAGGCAAAAAATTTGCAATCTTTCAAACTAATTTGAATACAATTGAGAAAACTGTGGCGGGAAAAGTGGGAAAAGACCGAATCTCTGATGTCCCTAAAATAATATGCTAAATCGGATACGAATGAACCCTATAAGTATTGAGTAGCGTCACTAACTGTTAGAAACATTACGGAGTCAGGATAAATTTAGCATTTTAGTTTGTTCCAAGTAATCTTAATACTAGATGATTTTTAAAAGTGTTAATTTACTTCTGACACATGCTATAAATAACGGGTTAAATAATACAACAAATCTGATTTACTTATTTTATTATGCTCCACAAACATGCATGTAGATATATACATATCTGCCTACTACATACCTATGTATGCATGTACAATTGTATGTGGAAATATTGACAAATGTTTGACATAACCTACATCACGTTTTTAACTGTAGTGTATTCACGAATTTAAATAAATATGTGTGAATGCAAGTAAAATACATTTACGTGCGTTCTTTGCGCGTTAAATGTTTGGGTTCATTATTATTCATACCGTAGTATTTTGTTATATGTCAGTGTGTACTTACTCTACTGCTATTCTGTTTATTTCCAATTTTCAGTAAGATGACTGGCATCTAAATTTTCTGTAAAATGATTTTCGCCGTCAATCTCCATGGAATAATTGCACCTAATGTCCTTCAAAGTATGTTTGGTTCCTTTGATGAGTGCATTGTGTAAAATAGCATTTGTAATTGTGCATGAATCAGAATATTTGTCCAGATACAAGCATATCTGGCCGTATTGCTTGAAAAAATTCATCATGTCCCTTAATTCTGTCTTGTAGACGTCTTTTAGTTAGCCTAATAATCAAATGTTCCCATTTTCTAAACCACCAATATGAACGCTTAACAAGATTAGTTCTTGAATCATGAACCAGCCTGTGGAACATTGACCTTGTGTCATTCTGCTTGATTATTTGTAGAACCTCCCACGACACTAAGCCAAAAGAGTACAAATCTGCGGAGATACCGTAATTCACAAAATTAGCTTCAGGTGCACGATATATGACATTTCCTACTTCCGGGGTTAGTGTCTTGGTCTTAGTTTGCTCGCTATGGATCTGTCGACATTGGCCAAAATCTCCCACTTTAACCGGAAATGCAAAATCTTCACCCATTAGCGAAAAGGAAAACATAATATTTTCCGGGCGAAAGTCTCGATGCATGATTTTATAGCTATGCAGATATTTAAGCCCTTCATACATGTCCTTCACAATTTGATTTCGAACCGAATGCAATTTTGGATCGTCACTCTCATCATGAATGTTCAACCATTGTCGCAACGTATTACCGCATAACTCCATTTGAATGCAGAGCGTTGGAATTTGTGTTCTACGTTGTGCCCGACGAAAATAGGTGTGTAGGTCATCAAGAACGTCGTAATTGTTTTGGAGGCATGGTATCTTTTGCAAGACGTCAACATCCTCCACAGTGAAAGGTGTGTCGGTTGATTTCAATATTTCAACTAAATTTTCGTGTTTCTTCCCCTTCATTAGCCTATATTCTCGGGAGAGACGACGCCTATCGGCTTCGTCCTGTTGATGCGTCTCGGATTCTTGCATTTGATTGTTTACGTCCATAAATATGACTTTGACAGCGGAAAGGTTAACCTGTCCACTGACCTAAAGTAAAACGATGAATTTTTTTTATCTGCATATTTACGAAGGATGCAAAGTTGCACCTTGTTACATAAGTAATTGGACGTATTGAGTTACACGAAGATTAGCAAATTTCGCGTCTACGAATTATTTACTGAATAATATTTTCGACTTAATACGTGTAACAAACAAAAACTTAAAATTACCGCCTTGAAAACGTAACCGAACGACCCGGAGCCAAGGAAAGTTTCCAACGTGAGATAATCAAACCAAGATGCAATTGATTCTACAGGAATATCGGGATCCACTTCCATCGCGTCCATCTCGTATTAAGCAATATTTTAAAATATGTATGTAGTTTTTACGTGCAGGGAACTTGAGAGTCACCGTACTTCAAGACTGAATTCAATTTTAACTGCGAATTTACATCACTGGCATCATCATGGTGTACAATTTGGGTTAGCAACAAGATAAGATATGTCCGTAGGCATCAAATGTATGCGAGATAAGCTTTATAATTCCAGATATGGAGTTAAGCGAGGACAGACATAGGCGATTTGGAGTAAGCGAGAAGTTATTGTGTAATGTTTGGCGTTGGTAAACTTCATGAGCCAATTTCGCAGCTTTGAAAAACCTCCGGCACAAATATGGACAGAGACATATGTACATACTTACATATATTTGTATGTGCTTGTGCATACGTAGGTGTGTTGGAGAGCCATACATACATGTGTGTTTGTACATAAATATGTATGTATGGGTATAAGAATGTGTATTAGTGGAAATTGTAGCCTATGTTCTATCACACTCTGTTGATGGCAATTTATGCCAAACATCTCCATTTTTAAGCATTTTATCGACAACATTTCGATGAAATCGTCAATAAAGCGTCAATAAAACCTCGATAAATGTAACGTCGTTGCCGTCGTCGAGTAACGCCAAGTACTTTTTTGAAAAATAGATGGTATTTCGACAAAACGTCGACAAAAGTGTCGGCATAGACTGTGTAGTCAAAGTAAGATGAAATTAATAACGACGTGCAATCAATAAAACATCAATTTTTATACAACATATCCTTAAGTTTAAATTAGATCAAAAAACATCTGCCCAAGTTATCATTAGGATAAAGCGCCTAGATAGTTGTGGTCAAAGTGTGGTTGATACCCAGGAAGTTAAAAATGGTACTAAGAGTCTCAAATTTTGGTATAATATGATAAACATATTTGACGTCGAATCCTGAAAATTTCATGGTTCTTCAATGGAAGGTAAATTTCCTATACAAATTGAAAGCGGGAAAAACGGGAAACGAGTTTTCCCTAAGAACTAAAATTTGTTCGACAAAGATTCAGAGAAGGCTTGACTAAATTTCAACGGAGAAGGCTGTGGCCGTGCAAAAATTAAAACATACATAAAAATGTATGGAGAATCCGAAAATGTTAACTTCAATTAACCACCATTTGAAAAAACCATCATATCGACCCCCCAAAGGTTAAAAACGATTGAATCGTTTTTTGAAAATTCTCCATCCACGGCGGTGCCTGATGCGTCCCTGAAGTCAAAGATTGATACGAACTATTTATATCATATTAAACCTCATAAATTGTGGGTCAAAGGGTATGTAAAGAAATCTCTACAAAAACATACGGAAGGTCAAGAAAAAATGGTGAACGCAATACTTCCCAAGCCTCAACAAAATTTTACCAGAACAGTTGCTCATTGCCAATGAGGCATATTTTAGGATATGTTCCATTCCACGTTGCACCAATTTTTTCTAACTAAATATAAAAATTTGCAAGCAAAATTTCGGGTGCAATCGTAAATGCAGCATAGCTATTTTAGAATTACATGCAACCACCCCCTTTTAAAAATTGAGGAAGGAAACTGGAAAAAATGAGAAAGGCTATGTACACTCGGTAACATAAGAATTAGACGTATACTTGCATTTGACAATCGGCTTCCCCCTGGAATATGAACATTATGATGCATCAAAAGTTTCGAAATTCGAAAATTAGCGGGTTTTTGACCTACATATAAATCATTAAAAAACTCATGGTTCCCGCACTTTTACTTCTGAGTGAGTTTACGGGATTCCGACTGGTCCAAAGCGGAATCAAATCACAGAATGTTCTAGTTTTTTTCCACCTAATTGCTAATTTTTCACAGAATTTGTTGGTGCATTTAGTTTCTTAATTGATCAAACCACACCCACACAAAAATTAAAATACTCAGAATTTCGAAATTGTTTGAGATGGAATATCTCAAAAGACGAAAGAGATAAGACCAAAATGTTCATTTAACCTCTGTTTTATAAATCGAAAACTGTTTTTTAAAGGGTTTTAAAATCACAAATTTCGAAATCTAAGGGTGTGGCACATGCTATCTTTGTCCCCATTTTTCAACCGGTCCCTGTGCTCCATTCCACTTCCTGGTGACAGATTTGTGTACGTCTCGACACCAGAAGTACGACAAAATTTTGTCCCAGTGGAATGGGGCACAGGGACCTGGAGATAATGGGGCTTAAAGTTTGGGGGTGTGTCCGCCACTGAAGGAGCGTAAATAGAACCACGCAAGTTAATCTATGTAAACGAGTCGGAGGAGTCCAACCAAGCGAGAGAGAGGGTTGGGACGGCTGCTGGTGGTGGCTACTACCTTCCTCTCCCACTATTTATGACTTGAGCATGAATTGGTGTATTGGAACGATCCGGCTCTTCTGACAACCTGATGTCAGATTTTTCTTCTTGAGAAGAGCTATATTTTCAGCTTTTGTTGTCCGAAGTAAAAGTGTGGGTACCAGGAGATTTTTCAGGTCAAAGTTTCTGTGGGAGGGGCTTATTTTGCAAGAGCCGTAACATACATACATACATCGTATGGGTGCATGGAGAAAGTGAGACAAAGGCAAATGGGTTTCATACGAGCCTGACTCGAAATGGTGGTGGTGTGAAATCTGACCCACCGCGAACCACTTTTCTCACTCTGTCTCAACTTCTGCGAAATATGGAAAACGGTTTTGTGGAACGCTTGGTCTGGCTAAGCTCCAATGAGTCATTGGTGATGAGCCATACGTCCTTATCAGCGTGACAAAAATTATAAATGCCGGATCAGATATTTTGACAAATCAAAAAAACTAATCGGATCCGATCGGATATTTTGAAAAATCCATAAAACAGATCGGATCGAATAGGGTTTCAGAAATTAACTTATTCAACTTAATCAACTTAATCAACTTTCAGAAATTATTTAGATCCGACTCAACTGTTTCTCTTGTTGATAATAGAAGATAATAGAATTTCGAGCGTTTGGTATAGTTTGATATTCAATTTAATGAATAATCCGTGCTTTTTAAATCCATAAAAACGGATCGGATCGAATATTTTGGAAAATCCGAAGAACGGATCGGATATTTTTGTTTTCATCTAAAAAAACTGATCGGATCGGATATTTTTCTAATCCGAAACACAGATCTTATCGGATATTTTTTTAAATCCGTAAAACGGATCTGATCGGATCGGGCTTATGAAAACACGGATCTGACATGTTGTATCCCCGCCGCCTACCGCCTACCCATAGGTACTCCCTACCGCCTACTTTTCATCGCCTACTTTTAGGCACCCCCCAGCGCCTACTTTTCATCGCCTACCCATAGGCACCCCCCGCCGCCTACTTTTCACCGCCTACCAAAAAATTTCCAAATGCCCCAAAAATCTCAAATTTCCCAAAAATCTCAAATTTCCCCAAAAATCTCAAATTTCCCAAAAATCTCAAATTTCCCCAAAAATCTCAAATTTCCCCCGAATCTCAAATTTCCCCCAAATCTCAAATTTCCCAAAATCTCAAATTCCCCCAAATTTTCAAAAATCTCAAATTTCCCCAAATCTCAAATTCCCCCAAATTTTCAAAAATCTCAAATTTCCCCAAATCTCAAATTCCCCCAAATTTTCAAAAATCTCTAATTCCCAAAAAATCTCAAATTTCCCCCAAATCTCGAATTTCCCAAATTTTCAAAAATCTCAAATTTTCCCAAATTTTCAGAAATCTCAAATTCCCCCAAATTTCAAGTTCCCCCAAATTTTCAAATTTGGCAAAAATCTCTAAAATTTCTCGAATTGTTTATTGCATCCTTATTGTCATTGCTACAAGTAGAACAAATCAAACTAGTAGGCAAGTAATTGCCAGCAGGGTTGTTAAAGATACAGTAATTTGATAAGGGATTGCGCGACGTGGGTGATTTTTTAAAAATAATTACAAAATTAAGTTTTGAAAAAAAAATAATCACTAGGCTAAATCACTAAGCAAAGTTGAGGGATAAAGATCAGTTAAAATATGCCATCAAATAAAATTTTGCATGAAAACCCATTCCATTGTACTTGTTCAGCAAGTAAATTAACACTACACTATATATACAGGGTGGTTAAAATGTCACGCTACAATTGAAAATTTTTCGATAAGAAAAATTCGTAAACTTCCATTACATACCGAAATTTTGTCTCTATAATTCAACATTTTAAGAATTTCGTCACTAGTGTTCCATCAGTTTTGATAATAATTATAAAAATCTGAATCCAAAATCTTATAATTAATGGAGATTTATTAGTTTCTCCCATTGAAAAATTTTCCATTGTAGCGTGACATTTGAACCACCCTGTATATATGTACATACTATAGTTATTGAATACAACAATTAAAAATGAATAATTTCAAGCATCGCAAATACGTATTTATGGTTTAAATATGTACTTATTTTAAAATGAGCGTATTTACTCGCGTCGCATATCTCTCAAATTGAGCATTTAGCAAATTAACTTACGAAGTTTTTAACTTCTTATGGTTAAAATAGAGTTTTCACAGTATTTATAAATACCCATTTACCTGTCACACTGGGCCAGCCTCTGATTATGTAACAAAAATGTGCAAAAACACCAAGTAGCCCCGTGTACAAATGTATGTAGATAGATGTACCCACGGGACCGTGCGTAAAGTATTCAATGAAATTCATTGAATGACTCATTTTGAAAGTATTGCCCTTCATTTTCGTATCTTCATGTATTAAATTCTTGTATCTTGCTTATCACTGGTTAATGTTGATGACATTTTGTGTGCACAGTATCCAAGTGAAAGTCGGGCCGCTAAACAAATAAACAAGTTCCAACAAAACCAACCCATGTTTTAACCGGTTTGCTTATATACGAACGTATGTACATATGCATTCGCTGTATGTAAACACATGCACACAACATTGCAAAATGCGTGCATAAGTACCTACGTACGCATATTGTTTAAATAAATATTTAAAAGCGTAAAATCAGCAAAAATTTGCTAGTATATTAATTTAACTGGATCAGTTGCATACATTTCCCATGTAAACGTACTTCAAACATGTCAAATATGTGCGTACTATGAAACCCTGCAGTTATTAAAAATTTAACTTTTTTACATGTGAAGCGCAAAGTCAGATTTGAACCAGTTAAATTTTCAGTGTAAAAGTTACCCAAGATCAGGCTTGGATCATAGCATGTGACATGTCATTTTTAACTATTTTTCAACGTCGAATTCAATGGTGACCTCCATTTTGACCTCCGAGGTCATCTGAAGGTCATAGAGCATTTTTGAGGGTGGGCATTTGCATTAAGTGCCCACCCTGCGCACCCCGTGGCTGCGCCTATGTATGTCAATTTAATAGGAAATTTTACGCTGATTTCACGGTTGACGTTTATTTTGACCTCAGAGGTCATAAAAGGGTCATCAACTGTTAAATTTGACACATCTGAGACACCAACGTCGAAAACACGTCAGATGTTAACACACTTCTTTCACCCCTTGGTTGCATGCGATGTAACGGTTTATTAATAAACTCAATCGTAATTTCTTACCCAGAACGACGATAGACGAATGTAGTTATTTGGCGACGAGGACTGTATGTGTATTTGTGTGTGACTAATATGCAACTCGCTGGTGGCGTAAATGTGACTGTTTTTTGGCGTAAATAACGTGGCGGAGGGGTCACGTATGGTTACTTGGTGGTAGTGTAGTTTATTAATCACAAATTGCCAATTACTTACAAACTTTTTAGAGTGTTAAGAGACGAGGGGAAAAAATACGTGTTGTTATTCGAAAGGTGGGAGAGACACTAAAATTTTCACAATTGTTCCAGAGAATATCACACAAAAAAGAACGCCAACTTAGCAAAAGGAACATCCTCCTCTCCTCCTCTTGACCAATGAAAGGAGAACACCTTGAAGTTTATTTAATTAAAAGAGGAGGAGAGGAAAGGTCAAAAAAGGTAAAAAAAATACAAATGAGAGAGAGATAAAATGTGAACAAAACTCAATTATCTCGAGACTGACTGGAGCCCAGTTCAAATTTCCCTATTGGGCTCCCGTCTCAAACCACATAAATCATACAAAATTTCATTGCATTAAATCATGCAAAGTCATGTATTCATAAATCATAATCTAGTCAATTCATTTAAAATAATTATGTAGTTCTCAACGACAACGAATTTGAAGTTGAACAAATTGTTGACATCCGCCTGGACAAAAAAGGAAAGATCTTATTAGAAACAAAGTGGAAAGGATGGCAAGTTGCATTAAACAAATACCTAAATATAAGGAAATAGCAATGAATGACGGAGATTTCGATTTAGGGATGAGTCGGACAACACGTTGGAGAGCCCAAGTGCACTAAAAAAGGCTGGGGGTGTCTTAACGGATTTCATGGGGAAGCAGGTCGTTTCTCATGTACAGATATTGCTAAATCAGTGCAAAAATTATGAAAACAGGATTGATTGCTTACAGAAGCAATTAGTTGAACTTTCACCACCTGTATCGAATCTTACTGATACAGGTGTAGAAGGATTACCCAGTCAGTAATTTCCAGTCATCGAATCTATAGTTGACCTTTGCGACAATGTGTGTGAAATAATATAGGACCTCCAGGAGCACCTGGGGAGAAAGTACTCTCTGATCGCCAAGCAAGTGATCCAACTACCTGTTCATGCCAAAAGGGGGAACCCGGACTTCCTGGTTTAAGTGGACCTCGTGGGATTGAAGGTAGAGACGGCAGACCCGGGAGGGATGGATACGCAGGTCCTGTTGGCCCACCTGGAGCCCATGAACCCTCTAGGTGTTGCTCAGGTTCCATGCATCTCCTTTCTCCAATAAAAGGGGATAAAGGTGATTTAGGGATCAAGGGAGAACAAATATGTCTTGCTGCAGTTTTTCCCACAATTCGGTTAATACACCTCCACTTTGCCAGGGATTCACTGGACCAACAGGGAAGATAGGACCAGAAGGCCTGAAAGGACTGAAGGGCCAGAAAGGTGACGCTCATCCCAAGGAGAAAAGTGTGTAGTAATCTAATGCCATACGGTCCTAATTTTATTCCCGTTTTTAACTCTCTTGAATTCCAACATATCGTAGGTCAGAAAGGTAAGCCTGGTGCTTCCATTGTTGGAGAGAAGGGAAATAAGGGAGATCTTGGTATTCGTGGCGAGAAAGGGGAACCAGGACTACCAGGTACTGAATATTTCAAAATTTTATAATGCTATTTGCTAATTAATTTCACTTTGAAACAGGTCATTGTGATTCAGATCAAATTAGAGCATTATGTTCAACTATTATATCAGGTTGCAGAATTGTAAATTCTCAAACGATGCAATAATGTTCATGCACATGTACTTCACTGTTATGCAGAAACTTTGGCGTCTTTGACATCGACAACCCCACTACCTCCACAGTCCTCTACTTCCCGCCCTGGTAAACTATCTCACAAATATTATTTAAATTAGTGCTTTATTTCTAACCGATATTTATCAAATTTGCAGCACTTAAGGGTTACTCCAGAGATGACTATTACGACACGTCAGTGGAACTCCCACATTTCTAATGTTTCTATAGTCGTTCGGAAGTCAATAATACTTTTAAAATACAAAATTACTACTTTAAAATCAGGGTTGTTAAAGAGACAGTAATTTGATAAGGGGTTGCGCGACGTGAGTACTTTTTGTGATTTTTTAAATTTTGAAAAAGCCCGGACCAGCTCCTGATTGGTTGTTAATCCGAATTTTTGATTGGCTAATCAAAAATATCACCACGACAATCAAAAATTATGACCAATCAAAAATTAGGATTAGGGCAGAAAGTGAAGATGAAATTGAGTTTCAGGTTTTCATGCAAAATTTTATTTGATGGCATATTTTAACTGATCTTTATCCCTCAACTTTGCTTAGTGATTTAGCCTAGTGATTATTTTTTTTTCAAAACTTAATTTTGTAATTATTTTTAAAAAATCACCCACGTCGCGCAATCCCTTATCAAATTACTGTATCTTTAACAACCCTGCTGGCAATTACTTGCCTACTAGTTTGATTTGTTCTACTTGTAGCAATGACAATAAGGATGCAATAAACAATTCGAGAAATTTTAGAGATTTTTGCCAAATTTGAAAATTTGGGGGAACTTGAAATTTGGGGGAATTTGAGATTTCTGAAAATTTGGGAAAATTTGAGATTTTTGAAAATTTGGGAAATTTGAGATTTGGGGGAAATTTGAGATTTTTTGGGAATTAGATTTTTGAAAATTTGGGGGAATTTGAGATTTGGGGAAATTTGAGATTTTTGAAAATTTGGGTAAATTTGAGATTTTTGGGAAATTTGAGATTTTTGGGGCATTTTGAAATTTTTTGGTAGGCGGTGAAAAATAGGCGGTGGGGGGTGCCTATGGGTAGGCGATGAAAAGTAGGCGCTGGGGGATGCCTAAAAGTAGGCGATGAAAAGTAGGCGGTAGGGGCTACCTATGGGTAGGCGGTAGGCGGCGGGGGCGACAACATGGATCTGACTCAACTCTGATACAGAGATTGAATACACTTACATACATAGAGTTAAGAATAAGGCTTACATATAAGTAAATACATATGTAAGTAAGTACATATATTCATGCCCGGCTGTCTTTAACGTCAGTTGCTATACCACGTTCCTCTCTTCATCATTATCTGGCTGGGACACATTTAATACAAAATTTAACATTCAATTCTACTGTTTATCCCCCAAAGCGAAACTGAAGGTAATTAATGCATACTTAATTATTACAATACCTGTAATTATCACAAGATTGTTGAAGTATATTCCGGTAATTGTAGATATGTAAAAACCGTACTATTTACGAAAATAGTATGTAGTAGGTAATATTTATGCAAAAATACTGACCTGCATTTTTTATTTCATTATTTATTTCAAAATCAAATAAACTCGTGTCGGATAGTAATTATTATTGCTTAAAGTGAGCATTAATTAAAGTCATTATTAAAGAAAGTTTGCAGTACACAGTAGGAAAGGCAGAGCCGTACCGTTAAATTACCGGGCCTGGTATATTTTTGGGCACCGGGCCCTTTCATAAGTTCAAAATATTCGATATTATTTAATGCATTTTGGCTATACAATACCAAGGGGTTAATGAAAAGTTCATGCATATTCATATCGCACTTTTCATACAAATATTTTTTTTTATTTACAGAATTGAAATAGAAAAGTTAATTATAAGTAAGTTTCGTATAACTCTGTATTCAGTGTTGTGGCTTACATATTTACTCACATGGTTTCCGTCAAAATTTTGTAGAATTTATTTGTCGGTTGTCAGCTTTTGAATTTCAAATAATTATAAGACTAACTAGGGATACTTTCGAAGTGATAGTCATGTCCAGGCCAGTCCAGGATACACACTATGTTTTTTAGAATCTACTAGGACCCCAGGTGATGGATCCATTCTTATTTCCGTGTAAAACTCATATTTGGCGCCGTAGCGTAGCGCTACATTCGCAAGATTTGAATGTTTCTAATTTAAAAAACGTCATTACTTTTGAAACCCTGGCCGGATTTTCAAAATATTTGACCAAAATCATCGGGTTCAACTTTCGATTTCTATGACGTTTTTCAAGAAACTAAAATTTTCAAATTTTTGCAAAATTTCAGAATTATCTTAACCATGGGGGGTTCGTCGAAAAATCGTATAACTAACTCAAAAATAAAAAAGTTTCTGTTTTTCATTTTTTTTTTTAAATTTCAACTTTTTGTGCTCATATTAAGCGTAAAATTTTGAAAATCCTACGGAAACTGCAAAAGTTATGAGGGTTTGAGATTGGTCGAAAATCCGGATTATTACATAAGTATGGCCCCACGCTACGGCGCCAAATATGAGTTTTACACGGAAATATGAATGGAACCTCTATCTGGCGTGCTAGTAGATTCTAAAAAACATAACCCTAAAAAAGATAGTGAGTACCCCGGACCCGACTGTCACCTCGAAATTATCCCTAGTAAGATTTGGAGCCACGAAAATGCAATTTCGAAAATTCCATTTAATTTCACGAATATACCTTTTTAAAAAGTGGAAAGGCATTTCCGTGTTTCAAGTATCGACTGGGTTTTGCTAGTTTTCAAAAACTGTTAGATCATTTAGAAGAAATTCATAGACTAGCAGGAAATAATATTTATAAATGCTTACACTGTGATAGCCAACTTGGTAGAAAGAGCTATTTGAGACACATGAAAAATATTTTTAAATTTCATCCTAATTTATTAAAAAAATATAGCTTTGTTAATTTAGATCAGGTAGGTGAACTTGACCAAGTATCAACCACTGAAATTCCGAGTTTAAATGAAGGCTCGAAGAGTAAAAATACAAACGATATGAAGGATTTAAAGATTATTTTATCTCAAATTTTAACAAGTATTCTAAAGTCAGGCAAAGTACCGATGAGTACATGTGATCATATATTCAATAATATAAAAAGGTTTGCGAACAAGTTATTATTATTGAGTAGCAATTTGCTCAAGACATTGTAAAAACAAATAAGCCTGAAAATGACAAAATTTCAGGTATCTTTGAACAATTTTCAAATCTTATTACTGCTTTTAAACCGTTTGAGTCAAAATACAAATTGGATAAATTTATGCAGGAAAACAACTTTATGATCCCAGCGAAGAAAATTGTTTTAGATTCAGATATTAGTTTCGCACAAGGCAATTCAGGTACTAAGTAAATATACCGTTCAATTTCGATGCAATACGTCCCAATTGCAGATTCAATTAGACAATTGCTTCATAAATCAGGATTTTATTCAACATTAGATCAGACAAGTTTTTACAATTCTGAATACTTCTCCTGTTTTAGGGAGGGTGAACACTCAAAATCGGTTACATTTCCTAAAAACACGATTTTATAAACTTATACCATGACGAGGCTGAAGTGGCAAATCCGCTTGGGTCAAAAGCAGGAAAGCATAAACTTTCTAATTTTTATTTTTCGATTCTCGATAGTCCACGCCACACTCATAGCAGTACAGATAATATTATTAGCATGTCTAAAAACTGAAGATTTTAAAAGTTCGGGCGCAAATACAATTTCAAAAGTAATTGTCGATGAACTTGAAATATTATGGCGTGACGGAATTGATTTTTCGATTCGCAATCAAATAATCAATATTAAAGTATGCTTTGCACAAATTTGTGGGGACAATTTAGGGCTCGATGGGTTACTTGGTTTTGCTGAAGGTTTCACAGCTAATTTTCCTTGCAGATATTGCAAAATCCACAGAAATTTGTGTCAAACATCCTTTTTCCAGGATGAAAGTAAAATTAGAAACATTACGAATTATAATGGAGATATTTTAATTTCTGATTTGTCAAAAACAGATAAATTTTAGCTCTGTTTTTAACGAATTGCCATATCGTCATGTTACAAGTAACTTTGTATTTGACATAATGCACGATTTATTGGAAGGGGTGGTGGCTGATTTTATGGTACACTTCCTAAATAGATGCATTTCAAAAAAGTATTTTACCCTAGATTCATTTAATTATAGATTGGAAAGTTATTCTCATCTGAAATATGACAACAAAATTGGTCAGAATTCTTCTCAAAATCTTTGTTTAACTTTATTTCTGGGACTTCTTATAGGGGATACGGTGCCAGAAAATGATGACCCTTGGAACTTGTATATTTTATTACAAGAAATTCTGGTCATTTTGCTAGCAGATAGAGTTACAAAAGGTGGAATAATTTATTTACAGTTTTATTTTACAGTTTTATTGATAGTTTATTTACTGAGACCTTGGAACAGGAGGTTTTAGTTTTAATTAAATATTGTTCAATCTGTCCTGTATTTGGTGAAATCCAACAAAATATTTTGGAAAATGATCAGTGTAATTTAGTTGCAAGCGTAGTAAATGGTAATTATGATGCTGGAAAATGTAGTTTTGAAATAGAGATTACAGATAATGTAGAAATAATTGATATTAATTCTATCGCCTATTATCAACCTTTGTACCGTACATCTTTTTTATTTAATGATATAAAGCAATATATAGTTTTACCTGTTAAATATGTATAAATTTGGTTATCGAGGTGAAGGGCACTTTTTGCTTTGGCTCAAGCTGTTTTTTGGTTTATCTGAAGGATTTAGTTTTTAGTGTGTAGAAACATTAGATTCAAGCGAATTATTCCGCAATTATTGCACAGTAAAAATCTCTTCGGGACGGAGAAACACAAACTTTGGCCTCTTTCATTGTGCTTAGAGATAACAGATGGAGAAATTTTCCACTCCATGGAGATTTTTACATTGCAATTGTGTGCAAAAACTGAGTAATTCACAGCGTAGGAGCAAAATTCTATTCTCCACCTCAAGATTACCTATAGTTGTATCCAACAAATATACATTTCGTGATTTGTAATCTTTTAAATTTTGTTTAAAATATGAAATAATTTTCACAATTGCAAAATGTTTTATAATATTTACAAAATCATTATTTCGAAAACTTTCAGGATTTCACAAAACTTCAGTAAGTTCAAAAAATCACGTAGATAGACAATTACAAAATTTTAAACAGAAAATGAAAATACATATTTGAAAAAAATAGTTAAATTTTATTATTTGAATTAACATAAAGCAATTGCATAATTTCAAAAATTTGCAAAATGTGAAGGTTGTTTTGCTAAATTGTTTTAAGCTTTGAAGAAATTAAATCAAAGTTAGTCAAATGTAGCACACAAATCTTGGAAAAAGAATGCTCCAAATATACACATATTTGTAGAATGCCACGATATTATCGTGGCATTCTATCCTAGTTATACTAGGATATGAGCTAATACTGCTGACCTCTTGGCCCGTTGCAAAAATGCACCGTTTCCGTTCCCTAGTTGCGTATTTCGCTTAATGTAATTAGAACCAAGTGTTCAATTACATGTGTTGATTTCACGAAATTATCTGTCGAATGCGACTTGTTTTCGCATAATCTTGGTGGGACAGTACTTTAGATTCCTTTGCATAACTAAATTATTTAACATGCATTGTTAAATTGCTGTGGTCGGCTACAAATACAGATTAAAAATATGCAATTATTTAGAATTTAATAAAATGAAAATTGTCGAAGCTAAGAATAACTTCACACAATATTTAGTTAATCAAACTCATACAAAACTACTCAGAAAGCAATCAAAATAATCAACTGTGAAACCTGTTTTGGCCAAAATTTAAACTTTGTGTTTAAAATAAATTACCTGAAAATTAAATTTAAATAAATTATTCATAAAATCGTCGACATAAAAAGTTCATTTTATCTAGTGTACAGCAAGGGACCCGGCCCGGGCCCCTACGGGCCCCGGGCCTGGTATTTGGTACCACGATATACCACGGTTGGTACGGTACTGAGGAAAGGGAACCCACGAATCCCACAATTTTTTTTTCATTGGCCAACAAATTTTTGTAAATTTGCACCGATCATGATGTGTAGATTGTAAAAAAAAACTCAATTCAAAATTATGAAAACAAAATCGCATCTCCGCTTTCCTACATACACTCCAACCTATTTTTTGTTAACAGAATCGACTCCCCAATTGGCCATGTCCAGCCCACCTGTTGACCTTGGTTCTGCTTCTGCCAGATTTTTGCAATGCGTCGTTTGCCAAGATCTTTTATCCGGGCAGGTAACCCAGTGTAAAAATGGGCACAATATTTGCTCCTCCCACAGCTTGCAAAGCCTACAGGGGAAATGTCCCACTTGTCGAATCAAATTTTCGGCCGGGTCCTCGCGAAATAGATTGGCGGAAGAAATGGTGAAACAGGAAAGGGAAAGACAAGAACAACAACGATCTACGCCGTCGATCTTGACGCCATCAGTGTCGGCGCCATCAATACCCTTAAATCCTTCGCCAATCGTACCCTCCAATTCGCGTCAAACCCAAATCCGTACACCCAACGCCAACAATAGGGACGAAACTATTTCATGTCGATACCTGAAGGATGGATGTGACACGATAATTTTGGCCCCAACAGCCATCCGTCATCACGAGCAGAATTGCTATTTTAGGTGAGCAACCGCAAAATCTTAGACCAGTGGCGGAAGTTAAGGGGACATTAGCATTGCAAGATAGAAGGAGAATTAACATGGGCAAGATACAATTTTGCTGGATTTCTAGGGGGACAATGTCCCCCTGGTTCGGTCCCCACTGACCCATCCACGTCGTCCTTATCCTTGTCATGCTAAGCTAACATGACCCAGACGGATTTACGCATCTTTCTTATAATGCTGAAATTTAAGAAATTTAATGCTGAAATTTTAAGAAAATTTTAAGAAAATGCTGAAATCATAGAACTCTAATTTCTCGATTTTCTTTCCCTTATTTATTTAGACCCCTGACCTGCTGTCTGGCTACGGATGGATGTAATCACGCACAAATACCGTTCTTTGACTACATCCCGCATCTCACTAGACTCCACGGCGTGAAATATCTCCAGGGTTCGCACCACCTTAATAAATATCTGGTCAAAGGAGTGGAAAGGGAACAACGGAAGAAATTCGTGAGGGGTAAGTGAATCCAATCGACGAGGGGGCAAAATTGTTCAAAATAATTAATTTTTACGTAATGAGACGTTCTGAAATTACGTAAAGGTAAAACGCAATTTTTTGAAGTCTAAGTCCCCTCTGTTATGACGCTAGTTAGCAGTAGCAGTAGCACCCTCATTCATCTTCGTATTAATGCAACGTAAATTTAAACTTTCAAAAAAAAACTAAAAAAAATCAAAAATTTTTAATTTAAGTGTGTGTACAAATTTTGTAATTAAACGCGTTGGCAAATTATAATTAAAACCCGCAAAAATCAATATTTATCACAAATATATCGTATAAGCCTCGAAATTTGTGAAAATTTGGTTTTCAAAAAAAAAAGTTATATAACGCTTGTATCAAGCCTCTCCCCGTCCTCTTGCAGCCCTACCTACGTAATTTAATAATAAATAATAATTATTACTAATAAAACTTAATTCTTGTCCCCTAATCCTTCTCCTCTATTTTTAAATGAGCAGAAGGGTCCACAAGCTTATTCATTTTGGAGGTGAGCAATCAGATCTTTCTATGCCGCGCTAAGGAGGAGGGAGACTTGGTCAGTGTTTGGGTCGCGTTTCACGGCCATCCCGACCAGGGACGCGGCTTTCGCGTCGAAATTCAGTATAATCCTCAATACGAAGACATTTTCGATGGTGAGGGACGCTTTGTTCCGCGCCGGATGAATCTGAACTATCGGGATCAAGCCGGATCGTCCAGACAGGAGGAGGACGACGACGTATGTAATTTATGAAATACTTTGGACGGACTCTCGATATACCTATACAAGTGAATTCCATCACATTTTTTAAATTGAAAATGAATGGCGGGAATAGCTTGGAAATGCTGAAAAAAATCGGAAAAATATTTATTTTTCGAATTGTCCCACCCCCTCGTCTCCAAAGGTAATTTTGCTGGGTATAACTTTTTCTCGGCCCCCAAAGTAGATAAAATAGTACAAAGTACCCTTTGTTTTTGACCTAGGATGTCCAAACTACCGGCATTAGACGCAGAATATATGGTTTCTGTACGGTTTTGAAGTGGGGAAGTTAACATTTCATAAACATGGAAAATATTTCAAGAAACCAAAAAAAAGATCGAAATTTTCAGGTCAAGGGCATTACAGCCTTTGACCTGGGGACTTCATTTTTTCTCACACGATGAACGACCCCAAATGAGGTCTCCATGCCATGTTTGGTGAATTTATCGACTTTGGGGGCCGGGAAAAAGTTATACCCAGCAAAATTACCTCTGAGGGCGAGGGGGTGGGGCAATTCGAAAAAAAAAATTCCGATTTTTTTTCAGCATTTCCAAGCTATTCCCGCCATTCATTTTCAATTTAAAAAATGTGATGGAATTCACTTGCATAGGTATTTCGAGAGTCCGTCTTTGCTATTTGGAACTCGCAATTTTGCAAAAAAAACGTTTCTTACTTAGTTCTCTTCTCAAAATTATTTTTTCTCAATTAAGTGAAGTCGATGTAAAAGTAAAAAAAGATCTACACATGTGTCTACTTATGGCTACATCGCGCGATGTATGAAGCATCGTTATGGCAACATATAGCCATAAGTAAATACATGCTTGCAGATATGTCTTTTTTACTTTGTTCTATATACTTAGGTCGTTTTTGAATTAAGCATCGACTGCACTTAGGTCTTTCATGAATTAGTACGACGACATGCGATTTCAAATTTTTCAACTTTTCGCAAAAAAAATTGCGCCCAAAAAGTGAAAACAGCTCGAAATCGTCACAATTAAGAAAAAACATTTCAAAACGTTTTTTTTCGAATGGTAAAATAGCGGAAAAATTTAAAATAAAAAAAGCGATTTTTTATGAATTTGAGATCCCCTATTGTTTTCAAAATGACTTTTTCTCCCTTCATTCGTATGTATTTAGGATGGAATCTACTCTGGTTCAGTTGTACACACGACACGTCAAACTTGGGAGGAGATTCGGAACTTGGACAGTTACCTGTCCATGCCGCTGGACAGTTTGGCATACAATTTGAAGCAGGAAGCGGGTCGGGCTTATGCGACTAGTTGGGCCATCACCGTGACCATTACGAGGGAACAGGCACGAAATTAAGGTTCCAAGGGGGGGGGGGCAGGTTTCTAATTTGAATTTTGTGCCAACTTTCTCCTGTCTATTCAATTGGCGATTTTGAAAATCAGGATAAAATAGAAGTGAAACGGGTAAAGAATAATAAATTCAAATTAAATATTTTTACATGGAGCAAAAACAAGTTAAGTTTTCAACCTGATAACTTTAAAATTATCGATTTTTGATGTAAGATTTTCATTTATAAAAGACGGAAATGACCATGTTTCAAAAGCGTTATTTGACTACAAAGAAGTGAGACTTGAAACACATATTTAAATTGAATTTATACATACGTCTGAATATATACTTGAATATATGTCTCCATTTATTAAATTTAAACTCAAAACCCGGGTGCAATCTCACCTTAAGGAAAGAAAGGTGAAAATAATCATTTAGCTGAAGAGAAAGTTTATTCTATTGTTAGTCTCTTGTTCGTTAAAACAATTAAGAATTCTTCAGCCTTCATACTCAATTCTACAAGTGAGTAAACGTTGCAGTAATAAGTACACTCTAAATAATTTGGAGACAAATCGTCACCCGTGGAGGTACTATGGCGCTCTATTTTCTGGTAAAGATTGCGCAGATGTTTTGTTAAGTTTTTAACTTATTTCCCACTGAACGAAACACATTTGTCGTCGTTAATTAAAAAATTCAATACTTTCATGTAAAACAATCCTATATTCGGATAAACAAGTTCAATGATTTTCCAGTATAATTCTGTGATGTTTTTAAGTAACAACGTCACATGGGGTGGATATACGATTTTTTTTACTTATTTCCCACCGGTTACAAAACGTTTCCTAAATCGTTACCAGAACATGGAGCACTATCGTACCTCCGCGGGTGACGATTCGTCTCCAAATTATTTAGGGTGTAGTAACAAATTTCGCCAATACTCATTCATTTATTAATTAGCGCAAACTACTTAAGGCGATGTCTTAGGTCACCAAATTCTAGCTCACTGATTCCGTCATAATTTCTTTTGAATTGAGTAGTATGAAAAATCCTGAAGCACGTGTTCAAGTATTTATTTATCTAATGCCACATAATTATTGTCCTGAAATAAATTTAAGTTTATTTGCATTTACATTGTCATTTAAGGTACAGGAATACACGATTTTTTATACCATTAGGAGACAGATTACCTGGTAAGCAAGACTATAGGTTACAATTATCATAAATAAATGATATCGCTGATAAGTAACAAATGTAGATCTACTTAATTTTACAGAGGTTCAATTAAACACAATTATAAATTTATATGTCCTTAATATTAAGTTATGCGATATGATGTGTAACTACGTAAAGATTATTGAAGTTTTTTTTCTCATTTGACAGGTATATGTATATGTATGTATGTATGGTGTAATGGGGTCGAAATTGATAATAATTTACGACATATTGGGTGATAAATTCGGCATAATTTTTTTATATAATAATATATGTGAAATGTGTGAATAAATCTGTTTGTTTATGTACATCTGTATTGATAGATATAGTAAAGAACTAAAACGTCTCATTTGATATAACAAATAATCACCAGTATGCTAATTCATCAATTTTCGACTAGACAAAAGTTTCGGCCTGGATTGTGTAGTCAAAGCAAGATGAAATTAAGAGCCACGTGCAATCAATAAAACATCAATTTTTATAAGATATCTCTCCAAGTTCAAATTGAATAAAAAAAACACCTTTCTTAACCAATCATTAAATGAACCATTCGAAATATACGCGCATACACCCCCCGATCTGTCACACATACGACAATCACGAATCGAACAGTATTCCTGTACAGCGTGTATCGGAACCAATCAAAACGTAAGCAATGCGGTTGCCGTATAATTCAAAATAGTGTCGACAAGTCTACTCATCCAACTATTCGTTATAACGCCGAACGGACCACACTGAGCTCCAATCGGTCTCAAGGAGTAGGTCACCCTTCTATCATACTTATCAATCAAGTGACCCTTCACCCAGGTCAAAAACCGGGATGAATTTTCATACGTTTTTGCCGCCAGTGGTAACAGTGTCATAAGGAATATTCCCCCCAACAAACTTGTCCATGGGGCGACTGGATACAGCATATTTGGTACAACACCGTACAATTTGATGGTTGCATAGTTAGCGAAAATGTTGGTGGCAACGCCAAAAAATAAGAGCGGAGGTATCGCCGAATAGCAGAAGGACGCGTTGGTGTGCTGATTCCAAATCTGGAGTTCTTGATAAAGCCGAACCATCTCTAGTTTTGAAACTGTGGGGGACGCTGTTATCCATTTTATGTAGTTATCAAGTTTTTCTGTTGCCTCGGCCACGGCGAATATGACGATAAGACCAATGATAAGGAATGCTAGGCCTGCTTTCGCTATTTCCGCCGAAATCATGGTTAGTATAAGGCTCCGGACCGTGTAGAATGCGACTTTTCGTGTAGTGCAGTCCTCGCAAAGGGTGGAAAACCAGATGCTGAGCGGGTCAACATTCATCACAATTGCGGGTGGGACTAGGGCAATTATTGCAATGGGGCCTGCCCATATGATAATTCGTATTATGGTTTCCAAATGAGGGTTTGACACGCTTCGTTTTTTTCCCCAAAATCTGCCGCCAAGAGCTAAAGTCAAAGAGAGGTAACTGTTACGATAGATAAACATTTGCAATGAATGTAACCAAGGGGTGAAAGGAGTGTGTTATCCGTCAAACAGAACAAAGTATTGTGTTTGTCCGTTCTAAATTCTGTTAAAATTGACATTGTCTGACGTGTTTTCAACATTTGCATAAAATGTAACAGATAATGACCTTTGGGGTCAAAATGGAGGTCACCATTGAATTCGGGGTTAAGTCTCAGTTGACCCTTAAACGACATTTCATGACCTTTTACCTTGAAGGGTGTGAGCAACAGTGTCCATCTTCGAAATCGTCCTGGCCCTTAGCGTTATGTGTTTTTATTCAAAAGTTGTTGGACCAACGGACAGACAGACAGACGGACGGACATAACTATCTTATAAAGGGCTTTCACCCCTTAATAAATGCATGGTGTGAAGTATTTATGAAATGAAGCCAAATGAAATGAAACGAGAATAGGTAAGCTGTTTATAACATATTTATGCAACTTACCAAAGAATTTCTTTTCAAACCTTAGAATGCAATTCACAATACTTGGAGCAACTTCTGGACAAAACGAGATCGCATAGCTCATTCCCATCAAAGAAGGTGGGACCAATCCCAGGTAGATGACGGCCACCGGTCGCAAGATGTTAAAAACGTCGTCACCCTTAAGTTTAGCGTCTTCGCCCCTTCCATAAATTATATTGCGCAAAAGGTAGAAGCAAATTAGGCTGTGAATAGGCCCCAACACTGACAAACATTTCGAAACTAAGCGTTTCCCGCGTGTCAGCCGGTCCACACGTATCAGTCGGTCAGATAATGTGAAGGAAAACGGCAATATTGAAAATTTTACGAACACGTTTCTGTACAAATTTAGAAGAATCCACATTCCCGGAGATACGAGTTCTCCCCCTGATTTATTCGGGGCATGAAGCCAACGTGCTAGGTCAATTCCGTTGAAATTCCGTTGATTTCGTTGAAATTCCGACATGGTTTCACAATTTGAATTAAGTTTCAAAGGTTTTGAATTAATTTTTTGAATCGGTCATCGCTATTGTATTTACATAGAATTCAGATATTGCTTGTGATCGATTTTCGTGGTTTCGACGAATACTTATTTTGGTTAGAATTAGGATTTGTCAAGTATAATCTTTAGATTATATTTAGAAATAAGTGAAGTTGAAAGAGGAAGATGTACTTATTTATATTATATTATATTTTAAAATATGTTGGCATTCAAACATATTTGCAATCCTAAATATAGTTAAGTGGATAATCATCCACTCTCTTAGAAATAAAGCGTTAAAATAAGACCATGGGTACTCATACATGTATGTACGAACCTACTAAAGTGACATTTATAAGAAATATCGTGAAATAATGGTCCGTACATAGTTTTACGATATCAGTATTGGATTTTTACATGGCAGTATTTATAATTTTAATGCAAAGCAGTAGCATACGAATAAATTAGTACCAGATTTCTAACATTCTAAGAGTCCATCACTGATCATATTTTATTTACAAAATTTCGGCAAGAATACTTATTTTAACCAAATTATTCAATCTAGCCGAAAATTCCAGAGAAACAATACCTCAATTTCCAATATTACATTAAGGGACATTATTTCGGAACTCATGAATGTAAATTTATTTATGTTTATTGGTCACAAGCTTTCAGAAAGTACTTTTACTTCATCAAGTGAATATAATATAATAACTGATGTCATTATACAAAAAGAAAACAGAATGTATGTGTGCATACGTCGTTGGCAGACAATGTGCATAATATGACTACAAGTATTAATATTAAGTATTTACGGAGTTCTATTCCTTACAGTAAGTACATACATAAACTTGTTTTGTACGTTTTCAAATGTGTTAAATTATGCATGATGTTCCTCATCATGAATTGGGCCCAATCGTTCTACGTTTTCGTTACTGGTGGTAAAATAGACCATTGTCCCCAGCAAATGTGTCCCTGGGAGGATCAATCTGGGAGGATCTTGGGATAAAACTGAACTATTTTTTAGCTCCCGGGACTCGGGGCTCCCGGTTTTAGCCTTAAAGAGTCCCTGGTTTTACTGAAATTTAATTATTACAATTTAGGAAATGCCAAAAAGGTACATACATATGTTATTTAGTAAGAACCGAACAACACATGTGCATACACTCTAAATAAAAAGTAGAGTTCCTCTTTGGCTTCCTTCTGTGCACCACGTATCTCTCTCTCGCTCTGCATCTGGATGCTCTTCCATCTGGGTCGCGGGTGTGCCAGGGCAAGTTAAGTGTGTCCTAAGGGCTTATCGCCACGTGAGCCTCGTCCACTCACACCCCCCACCTGCGTGCCTAGTGACACCCCCTGCCACACCCGTCCCAGCAACGACAAGCTGAGCCATCAGGCGAAGATGGATTCGCAGGACCCAGTGCACAGGAGGATCTACGCCTTGCAGGACTCCCCCAGGTAGGTTTTTGTTTGGCATATCGGGGTGGTGACCGTGGGGAGTGGTTGTTTGAAGAGTGGGGGGGTCGTGCATGACGGGGGGCGGCATAGTCGGGTCTACGGGGGTCCCATGACCTAATTGTGCTGTGATGGGAGAAGGGGCAAGTGGGGGTGTCGTCGGCCGCGGCTAAGGCTTCCATGGGGGACGTGGGCAAGATCCCGCGGTCCGTGGACAGCCCCCGCCCAACAACCTTCAACTGTCTACTTCCGCATGCAGACGCCACCCTCATTTGGATATCACCACCGCCCCACGGAATCCGCCTATGTATCCCTGCCATTCATTTTCCTACCTGGTGTCCAGCAGTAATGGGCCGAATGGTGTATTGGGCCACATTCCCAATACATGTAGAGGTTTTCCGAGACCATCTCCGGTTTTCCCTCTACACCCATACTGCTACATATATATTATCATTAAATTATATACTTCTCATGTTATTTGTTATTGTATGCAACTAGCCTGTATTGGGATGCCGGGTGCTACTTGAGGATCACGACCTCAACTAGAGACATACTTTATAGAATTGATTGATTTGTGTAGTATAGAATGAAACTATGTATGTATATGAAGGTATTCTTGTATGAAACGAATGAAGGAGTATGATTGTAAAGGCTAACGCCATATCAATCTTTGAATAAAACCCCTATCTATCTATCTAAATAAAAAGTAAGCAAATTGCTACTGGGTGGTGTCTATATATGTATGACCTCACCGATTTGGTAGCGATTTCTACGGAACTATAGTAAATTTGTTACCATATTTTAAGGTAAGGAAATGCTACAAGATGGTAGCAAATTTAGTACAGTTCCGTAGAAAATCGCTACCAAACCGGTGAGGTCATATATAGACACCACCCAGTAGCAATTTGCTTACTTTTTATTTAGAGTGTACATAATACTTCCATGAGTACATGCATGTTCTGCATATAAATTTTGAACTTTATTTGAACAATATATTTATATACCTTTAAAAATACCTGAGTAAACAAATACAAAAATATATTTTCAATAAAAATAAATTAAACAAATCTAACAAACAACTGCGCTGGGCCGCTGAGTATTTCATTTACATGAATACAATGTAGATACATTTTCTGCGTAAGAACTTCGATAAAACTTCTAGGGGACGTTCGTAAACTTCATAACGCATATTTTCCCTGTTTAGGACACCCACCCTCCCCTATGTCACGCTGGCGTCACAAAAATTTGGTAGCCCACCCCCCCCCTTCCGTTACGTAACACAAGTGTTTACTTAATTGTGCAGCCTTTTTGGGAGATAAATTGCCAGGGTTAGGGAAAGGGGACCCCAAAAAACTTAGAAATTTTTTCGAATTTTTTTTTTCTACAAATGTCATTTTCGTGACCTACAGGTCATGATCGGTATAAATCTGCAAAAAATTTTTTTTTTTCAAGGGGAAAAAATTTTTATTCCATTTTTGGACGTTTCAGGGAATTCTGAGATTTTGTCTCACCGTGCCCCAAAATGTTGGGGTAAAGTGAGATTATTGGTTTTTTATGCATTTCAACACTATTTGAGTGTCAACCTGCATCAAACATGGTTCGCGGACCAAAAAAACGTCGAAATCTTGAATTTCTCAAATTACCCCAAAAATCAAATACCCGCTTTTCTACCCACCAAAAAATTTTTTTTATTCTAAGTTTTTTTTTGTTAGGGGCAAAAAAAATTTTTGCAGATTTACACCGATCATGACCTGTAGGTCACGAAAATGACATTTGTAGAAAAAAAAAAATTCGAAAAAATTTCTAAGTTTTTTGGGGTCCCCTTTTCCGTACCCTAACCGGTAGATCTTTATTCAGAGTTGACTTGTAGACCGAAGAGACAGAACTGAACTTGACTTAACATGTCGACTACTGACGATGTTGATCTGTGGTGTCAGTCTGAACTGACCTCGCAGACTGCACACGGAGATGCCAGTTGCCACTGGTTTTGTTAACAGGACTCGGGAGAAAGCTACGCTTTCTCCAGACTCTCACAATAAATGTATCTCTCAGATATGAGCCTTACATTCCTCTATTTCCCAAAGTTTTAAGTTTAAGACCTAGTATTTTGAATTTAAAGCTTGATAACTCAAAACATTTAAAGCTAACTAAAGAACTTGATGGGGATCGCCAAACATGATCCTGGTGAATTATAATAATAAGTTATTCACCTTACTCCATAAGTACATCTACACATGTATACTAATTAGTATACTAATTAGTATGTGTATGTTAACATACACATACATACAAACATTCACCAATTATTATGAAAACACTCAGATATTTCAAAATTTATAACATACATAAATTATTTAATATTTGTTTTCAATCATGAGGGTTTTTTATAATGATTTATGTATATACATAAGTACGTATATGATAAAGGGGCAAAGTACTCTAGTCATAAATATTCATTCTACTATAAGAATCTTTGAAATAGTATCTTTTCTAGAGAACAATGGAGAAAGTACAAGAGATTTATGTTATTGACATCCATGATTCCTTCATGCGTGTTGCTACTTATGTAGTCGACCTTATTTTCCTCTATTTCTCCTCTAAGACAAAAAAGTTCCCTAGAATAATAAAATTAGTGAGATGGGAATCTTTCAATTGTTTCTCAGTAGTTAAAGCTTTTTCGGAAAATTACATAAATTTCGTCATCAGAATGAACATAATACAAAATCAACATTTAAGATTTGGAATTGAATTAAATGGAATCATGAGTGAAGAGGTTCTGTTCTCGCTGTATGATGTGGTTGGAGTCTGGAGTTATTGGCGGAGAAAGTGTTCCTTAAAAGCGTCGTGTTGCTAAAGAGTAGTTCCATAAAAGTAGGGTGCGAATTTGTTCCATAGGGAGTCAAAATAAAATCAGATCTGATTGTTGTCGTATTTGTTCTATCCTCGTCTGTATTGTTTTAATTGGATGTACTTGCATATTGATGATTACGCCGCATCATTTCTGCGTCTCTTCCTCCTCCAACGGTCAGGTGGTGGGGGCCATGATTTCTTATCTTATTACTTATCTTATGTATTTATACCTGAGACTTCTAACCCGGAAGTCCATTACCTTAACTTTCATTATTATCAGAGTATTTCCTCAGTTTATTCCCTACTGGGAATCTCTTATTCATTTCATCAGTATTCATTTTATTACTCATATACTTATTTTACTTAAATATTTATTACTTAATTACGTATCTCATGGACCGTTTACTTTTATGCATTTCTCCTCTTCGGATCGTATTAAGTTCTTCGTATGGCGTAATTGGACAATAATTCTCTACTGCTGGTCCGAAGTACATTACGACAAATTGGATTGGTGGTGACGAATGACGACAGGTAGTTAGTTTTAAATAGTGACAATTTATTTTATTTTCTTCTTTAATGTGATCTTATGGGTCAACGATAAACTTTTATGACTTCGCTCTGCATACATTTGGATGTATTTTACTTTCACTCGGAATTTATGTGATTTTGTATGTCCGGAAGGAATTACTTCATGTTGTTAAATTTAATGGTAAATGTTGCATTGATCATTGCGACGACAATTTAAGGTTTTCACGTAAAAAATCCAGATTTATTTTTTGGATTGTTAGGTTGAATGGGTTCTTAATGGATTGGTTGTTAATGTTATGTCAATCGTTTTGTTTTTGTAAATTCGTAATTCTTTCTCCTTAGTCAAGTGTTAATTCCTTCGCATGAGAAGGAAAGGATGTTGATCTCATTCCATTCTCCATTTATTTTATTCTTCCGTCTCAAGAGTGACAATGTCAATAAAAAATCTGTTGCCCACTTTTTCCGGGCAACGGAAAGTCAATCTCCGGATTCCATAAACTTTGATGTTGTCATAAAGTTACAATCTGTGATTGATCGGTCGAATTAAGAGAAGAGTAACTCAGGAAGGAAGGTGACATACTTAAATTTAATGGTTATATCTTTGCAAATGGGTTTCGTTTTATGGCTTCCATTGTTTGAATCTGAAATGGTTGTAAATGTGTGTCAATCAATGATATGATCTTGTTAGGTAGGTCTCGTATCTTCTTTCTCTGCATCCTGGTGAAAGTATAAGGTATCCTATTTTCGTACCAACTCTGCGAACACAGCTTATACTCTGATCAATAAAAACAAAAAATAAAGACTGATTTTGTAGGTATCCTATTAGAATTAGGTCGGAAATGTTGGGTGGAGAAGTTATTTCAGATTAATATTCGCTAAGTCGATTTTAGGGGAACAAATTTTGAGGGGACAGATTTTTGATATTTTATTTTTTATTTTTCATTTTTATTTATTTTTTATTTTGAAATTTTTGGATAATTGGGTAAAGATGATCTGTACTGGTACAGAAATTAAGCTTAAATGACACGAGAAAGATGAGACGGCGACGAGAAGAGACTAAGTCGGAGAAAGTAATTATTACTCTTTTCAGGGCCGAATTTCCACGGGAAGATGTGGTGGAGATTGTAGTTATTTTTACATTGGTGCAGATTTTGTAAAGTGAAGGAAAGTTGCTGAATTTGTGGAGTTTGGACTCCATTGTAGAAGGGAGGAAGTGGAGTTGTGACAAAAGAAAGTGTGCATCTTTTCCTCGCTTGGGTAGAATTGGGAAAAGAGAAAGGGAAAGTTTCTCGGGTCCAGAATATGAGAAGAAAGAACATCAGTTTCAGGAGGAAAGTCTTCATTATACGGGTTTTGATTTTGGGGAAGTGAATTACGCAAATATTTCAAAGATGAGATGTACTTGTACGTCTGAATGGATGGTAAAGATGTAATGCACTAGTGCATTAGTCGATGAGATTAAGATTTGGACACTTGTATCCCACTTAATCTGTGCTGAAAAAGAAATTTACCGGCACTAGTACCGGCGAAGATGAAGTGACACTTGCATCACTTTCATCACCACTTTTGGGAAAGGGAAAGAGATAAGTGTTGGGGGTAAGACGAGAAAATTGGACTTGTAGACAAAGTCACAAATTTTTGTACCATTTTTTAACAATATCTATCCGCTTAAAATATCTTTTTTTTTCTCGTTCAAAAATGGGTTCGAATACTACCATTTCTGGCACCAAAATATGACAGGCTGGTGGCTAAGGCTGGGCATAAATAAGTGAAAGACAAACTACAAGATTCTCCAATATTGAGAGGAAAGGTAGATCTTTATTCAGAGTTGACTTGTAGACCGAAGAGACAGAACTGAACTTGACTTAACATGTCGACTACTGACGATGTTGATCTGTGGTGTCAGTCTGAACTGACCTCGCAGACTGCACACGGAGATGCCAGTTGCCACTGGTTTTGTTAACAGGACTCGGGAGAAAGCTACGCTTTCTCCAGACTCTCACAATAAATGTATCTCTCAGATATGAGCCTTACAATATGTTTATCGATGTTGTCGACATATCGGAACATGGCGCTTATCCCCATCGCCATGTTATCGCCAAATTCTGTCGCCATGTCGTAATTTCGTCATTTTTTGCCCGGTGTACATGAAATTACGACACAATGCAATGACTCCGTGAATTGCGTCATTATATATTTTTTAATGGTTGAGGTGATCTTGGTGTTACAATTATTCATGGGATTTGCATAACTTCCCAAAACTTTGAAAAATCATTTTTGAGTCTTAAAATGGTATGGGTTTTGTAAAATTTTATATTTTGGCACTTAAGTATTTCAAGTAAATATAGATTAAGTTTGATTTTTCAAAAATATGGTTCGTAATGTTTTTTTAATTAGTTTCCATATTGTGTAGAAAGTTATTTGTCAATATTTAGATTTTCCAAGTCTAAAAATGTGTAAAATTCGAATATTTACAAATTACTAAAATATAGAATTTAATATTCTAATTTAATTTAAGAATATGCAGTCTTAAATCTGTCACTTAATAGTGTTGAGTTAAATGTAAAATGATCAAATTAGCTTTAGTTTCAAATTAATCGTAGTTACAGACCTTTGTCACCTGCAAACCTTTTGCCTAATTTAATTTTCTAAAAACTGCTTTAGGTTTGTAAAGCTTACAAAATGTCATACAAATCTGCCCATTTATCGAAAACATACCTAAATAAATGTGTTATATAAATGTGTGTATAATAAATGTGTTGTATATGTGTTGTATGTTGTATGTGTTGTATATATGTGTTGACCCATCCGAAGTTAAGTCGTTCTTGTGATTAGTGAATTTTTATGCGAGATTCATCCCAAATCTGTCCACGCTGTGTGAGCCTCTGAACAGATTGACCCGTACTGATGTGAAGTGGAAATGGTGCAAATTGTGTGATAATTCGTTTAATAAGATCAAGTCGTTGTTGTCTTCTTCTTGTGTTTTAGCCCATTTCGAGCAGTCTCTACCAATTGGGATCGCGTGTGATGCTTCATCAGTCGGACTCGGTACTGTATTGTTTCACAGATACCCGGATGGGAGTGAAAGACCAATTGCTTTCGCGTCGAAAACCTTGTCCAAGGCTGAGCGGAATTATGGTCAAGTTGAGAAGGAAGGACTCGCAATCATCTTTGGTGTTAAAAGATTTGTGCAGTTTCTTTATGGTCGCAGGTTCATCCTAGTTACAGATCATGAACCGTTGTTGTCAATCTTTGGAGAGAAGACAGGACTGCCCCTTTTAATCGCGTCTCGATTACACCGGTGGAGTCTGTATCTCAGTTCGTTCCAGTATGATGTCGAGTATCGGAACACCAAGAAACATGGAAATGCTGACGCGTTGTCACGTTTGCCATTGTCCGCCGCGCCATCAATTGACCAAGACAGTGAAGCCATTGTCAAAAGAGTGGTGGAGGACAACCCAGTAATGTCAAAGAATATCAGATTCAGGACTGCAAAAGATGAAGAATTGTCTCTTGTCATACGCTACATACGCCAAGGTTGGCCCAGCAAGCAGTCACAATTACCGCAGAAAATCCAGTCTTATTTTCCGCATCGTAACGAGTTCACAGTGGAGGAAGGTATCATTTTGTGGGGACTCCGCGTCGTCGTACCGTCAGCCCTGAAGTCACAACTTCTTCGTCAACTCCACGAGTCGCATCCAGGAATAGTGCGAATGAAAGCAATTGCGCGTCAAGTTATGTGGTGGCCAGGAATCGATGTGGACATTGAAAAGCAAGTCAAATCATGCACAGAGTGTGCTGTCCACAGGGACAACCCGTCCGTAGCCACCCTCCATCCATGGTCATTCCCGGAAAAGCCCTGGCAACGCATCCATGTGGATCTCGCAGGACCTTTTCTCAGTAATATGTGGCTCATCATGGTCGATGCCCACAGTAAATGGCCAGAAGTCGTTAAATTGGGAAACAATTCCACTTCTAGCAATGTCATTGTCAAAATCAGAGAGATGTTTTCAAGATTTGGAATTCCAGAAACCATCGTTTCAGATAATGGTCCCCAATTTGTGTCAGAAGAGTTCGAGCGATTTTGTAAGAAGAATGGAATACGTCACACTACAAGTAGCGCGTATCATCCTCGTAGTAATGGAGAAGCAGAGCGATTTATTCGTGCCTTTAAGAGTTCCATGTCTAAAGGGGAAGGAAATGATAACTTGTCCTTGTGTAATTTCTTGTGGAGTTACAGAACTACGCCCCATGCGACAACTGGAGTAGCGCCTGCAGAAGTCCTCCTCAAGTCCAAGCCTCGAACGTGATTGGATCTAATCCGTCCTGATCCAAGTGCCCGTGTCCGTACACGTCAAGAGATTCAAGTCGAGTCGTTTGGTGGTCACTCAGCCAGTCGAGAGTTTCGAGCGGGTGACAGTGTTTGGGTCCAGTCATTTTCCAAGAACATGCCGAAGTGGTCCTTGGGAAATATCACGAGAGCAGTGGGTCCTGTCTCGTATGATGTCACTGTTGGAGATCGTGTTATGAAGCGTCATATCGATCACATTGTTGCAGCCGATCTGTCCCAATTTCCATGTACCAGTTCTCCATCAAAGTCCGATACCAAACATGAAGACAATCAGTCGACACCAAAATCAAAAAGTCCAGAGTTTAAGAGTACGGAATCAAGTCCAACCAGTCCCGTCAAGGAACGCGTCGTCGTCCCTATTCCTATCGAGATTCCAGAAGAGGAACCCATAGTTGACCTCAACGAGAGTCTGGCGTCGTCCCGTCCTCAGCGTCAGCGCCGGAAACCTAAAGTCTTCGATTTGTAGGGGAAGGGAATGTTGTATATGTATCTCAAGTAGTACTTTACAGGTTGGATCTTTAACCTTGAGTTTATGCGCATATGTATGAATGTATGAAATCATGGTGGGTGTCCGTGCGTGTACGAATGAGTCAACTTGTTATATTTAATTCCGGTTTCTAATAAATTAGTTTGTTAATTGTTAATATTGTATTGTGTGCTATAAAGTCATTAAGCATCAAATACAACAAAATGAAACTAGTGTAAAATTTTAGAATCATAATTTTATTTCCAGATAATTTCACAAAATTTTACAAATATTTTCGAGCAACATTAGCTCCCAAATTTTTGTTAACTTGCTCAAATCAAGGGCGTTTCCTTATTTTGTAAAACTTGGTAAAATTATTGTTCTGTAAATGTTGTAACATGGCCGCTAAAATTAGTCTTTGCGAAGCTTAGAATTTTCATTAGAATAATGTTACCAATTTGGTAACAATTTTCATTCGAGAGGACAAAACTTGATGGAACTCAGTTACATGAAAATTCATAATACAGAATTACTTATTTGTAAAGTTAGGTGTGTTGGTGTTGGTGTTTGTAATTTATTATCATAAATTTAAAGTATGAATTACTCGTCTATATTTCATTAATTGTGTTTCAGCTAAAATATGAAAAGTATAGCTATTTTCCAGGCATGAGCTATCTTACAAGTTTACAACTCGGAACTCGCCAAGTAATCTGTAACTAAAGTTCGTTAAAATAAATATGTGTAATTTTTTAAATCTGACGTAGAACCATGGCACACGTGCAACGAATTATTGCTCAAAAATAATGAATAAAATTTAGATAGAAAATTAAAACAAATATGTAAACGTGGCAATTTTAGACAAGTTTTTCAATCTGCCATTGATTTTATACCAATGTTACATACCTGTACATATTTTGCGATACTAAAATAACTTAATTGTCACCAAGAATCTGGTCACATTTATATGTTAAGTATTTACAGATCGTGAAAATTTATAATTTAGTACAAGTTTGTAAATAAATTTTACCAAAAATTACGTAATACAAGTCACAAAACATTCGAATAAATTGTGAACTGTTACACTACAAAATTGTAATTGTCAGTAAGGATGTAATTGTCCTATGTGGGCATCTGGTCATTAACTAATTACAAATTTACTAATTATATACAATATAATATACTAATTACAAAAATTACGTTAAAAATTGTGCACAATTTATGAAGGTGAAATAAATCCGACTGAATTTTTATTGAAATTCGAAAATTTTAAAAATCTTAATACCTTCATTTATACTAATGCGTTTTTCTACTATACGGGCCTCGACGTCACCATTGAAATGTCGGTTTTTAGTACCAATTTAATTTTTGACAAGATTTATATAAACATTCGTATTTTAAAAAAACAAAAAGGAAAAAACCTGAGCTTTGTAACGATCCTTACAAACCTCAGATTTTTTTCATTGCAAACATTCGCTAGAAATATATCAGAATTTGTCTAAATGGCGTTCAAATCCGACAAAATTGTCGTGATTTAATTTCTTGTTTAATTCTTCAAAAATCAATCCAAAAATTACCTATTTGTGGTGTGGTTCGTAAATTCATTGCATGCAATGCAACCTAACATGTTACTCATTCTTCGTAATAAGAATTTATTTGAAATTACGGGAATAATTTGAATAATTAATTGTTAATAAGACCAACTCTTCTCTCTGCTAAATTATGTAATTGGTAAGAATTTGTATCCATCAATTTTGTAAAATTTTATTGCATACAATAAAATTTCCAAATAACTTAAAACATTTTCTAGTTTAATTAGCGAACTAATTGTCTTAAATATTTGAAGTATTTGCCAAATTTAGTTGATAACACTGATATGCAACCCATACCACGTGCCAAAAACTGGAAACGTGAGAAGTATTATATCAACATATCAACATACATATTAACATATCTGTGTAGTAAAATTGCGATATGTATATTCTAAAATTATGAGAATCAACGTAAAATCTATCCAATACGTAATTTTTTAGTCTTGAGGAAAACTTAGCAAATAAATTGTACCTTGAATGATACAATTAAAAAATGCCAATTTTATTCTGGGTATACTTGCTTTTTAATAGTGCAAGAATATTGGAAATGTGTAGAAAAAACCTTAACCTGATGCAATTAAAATTGGAATTAGTAGGGGAAATGTTGAAATTACTGAAATTTGGAGGATGAAAATTGCCCAAAACGTTTTGTCTGATTTGAATATGTTTGATTTCCTTGAAATTTGAAATCGTCACGACGGACTATAGTTGACAGTTATTGTCTTCGACTTCCGTAACAACAATTTCCGGAAAACTCGAAGAAATTCAGAAAACTATTGAACACGGTTTCAGAAAGTAAGACATACATCAGCGTCGTATTTATGAAATTTAAATTTTTAGTACCGCCTAAATCAAGAGTAGATCATTCCTTCGAAAAAATAGATAAATTCGTCTTCGTAAAATTTGAGCATTTAAAATTAAGAGTTTACCGTGATTTTATTTTATCAAATTTTATCACAAAAATCCGACCAAATCTGAATATCTTGATTTCTACTCACATTTTTATGCTATACCTCAATTTCAATGGCATTTTTTAGCAATTGTTTAAATCATTTACGTAAGAATTTAAAAAAAGAAAAAAGCATTCGAAATTTGTTACGATCTTCACAAATCTCACATTTTTTCCTTTAATTTTAACTGCCTCAACAAATATCTGGTCACATTGACGTTACACAGATCGTGTAAATTTATCCATAGTTTTAGTACAAGTTTGTAAATAAATTGTGTAAAAAAAATTTTACAGGTTAGAAAAAAACGAGTGAGCTGTTGTGATCTTGAATGAAATTTAGTAACTTTCAAAATCTGTATTTTCTTTACCATGGCCCTCGACGAAGACAATGACATTTTTAAGCAATTTTGTTTCAAGCATTTATGCCTTTTAATCATTAATAGAAGCATTTAAAAAAAGATAGATAGAAAAAAATCCAAGGTTTATGTAATGAATCTTAGAATTTCTAAGATTCATTACAAACCTTGGATTTTTTCCTTAAAAATATTTACCCTCTGCAAATATGTCACAATTTGTCCAAATGACGTCCAAATCCAACAAATAATCCAAAAAACGTGAAAAATAATAATCAACACATTAAGGATGCATGGGACGGAGGCCAGCCAAAACCCTGATAGCTACCAGTGACGAATACTTTTAACTTCAGTTTTCGGCCACATCCGAGGTGGCGCGCAGTTGCCAAAAATTGAATAACGCTCAATATATTGAATGTAGCCCACAACCACCACTCACGAATCGAGACTAACGACTCCTTATTTCGAGTTGAGTCAACAATTCGGCCTATCCAAACACATGATGAATTATTCCACCCAGAAATTTCACAAAAAATTACAATTTTCGCTCAATCTTGAAGCTATTTTGATGCTCAGTATCGCAAATTGTTCACAAGATAATGCTCTACAATTGCCTTAGAGGAATGTTTCAAATTTTGTTTCCAATAATTTCTACCAAAATTTTAAACTTTGGATCGGTGTAAAAATGATTACAAACAAAAATCCATAAAATCCGTCTAAAGCGATTATAAAGCATCCTCTTGTGAACAATTTAAGATATTGAACATTAAAATATCTTCAAAATTGAGCGAAAATTGTAATTTTTTGTAAAAATCGCAGGAGAATTATTTAACATGCATGAGGATAGGAATAGAGGAGCTCGAGTTGTTGATTCTACTCGCCATATGAGGTCGCTGGTGGTGGGGGTGATTTACGGTTAAAATAATCCATCTCCAAAGACTTTGTTTTCGATTTTTGAGAAAAAACACATTTTTTCAAAATTATAGTAAAAGCTCATAAAAATTATAATACGGTGGAAATTTATCTCTTTTATACTTATCTAATTAAATTACAAAATAAAACTGTAAACGGCTTTGAACTTCGAAATTTTCTTAATAAAGTTCGTTTATGTATCAGGGAATGCAAGTAACATTTCATACCGACAAATTTCTAAAAATGGAGATACAAATTTATGGATTTCATAAATAGAGAAAGTGGTGAAAGTAATAAGTACACTGTTAAAAATCTGGAAGGTCAAATAGTACTAATTTGGTAATAACTTCCTACTGGATTGGTAGTAGTTTGTTTCTGAGTGGTGAATTTTTTATGACCACAACATGATGGCTTCAAGAACATTGATAAATAATTTGTAACGGATTGGATAACGTCGATGGCAGGGGAAAGGCTTTCCCCTGCCAATGGAAAGGTTAATGAAATTAATGATCTTAAATGAGATAAACTGCTGTGTTGAATTTTCTTTTCGATGAATAATGAATATAAACGAAATACTGAGGCATTTCACCCATGTTTTTAGTTCTTACATAAGCTCATCTTCATAAGTTTACGTGGTTACGAACTTACAAAGGCTGACGTGAAATGAAACGCCTCATTAGTTTACATAAA